TGTTCTTCTGAATGTGAAGATGCTAACTGACAGTTAGTCTTAACATGGGGTTTGGTCCTTCTAATCTCTCCTGGCATTGCGCACATTGCTCCATACCACCTCGTCATATGTATTTTGTATATTTTTGTATTCATTTTTCTTACCTGTAACAGACTGTGTACATCAAGCGTGAGGCTCTGCATGCTTCATCCTTGCTCTAGAGCAGACAGTTGCGTCAGTATCACCATTTGTTTTCTTTTGTTGCCAATTGGAAGGTGATGATGATGATGATGTTGTTCATGATGATGATGATGATGAATGGCTTGCTGCAACCATATATGGTAAATATATAAAAACTGAGTGTATTAAGGCTGGACAGCCTGGGAAAGTGTAAATAAAATGCCCACACTATTTTTACCTAATGTTAACAGAGCTTTTTGTAAATGTATCTTGTGCTCAAACTCTGCTGTATCATTATGGGTATTGTATATACAAAATAGCTCAGTCGGTCATCTGTCCTCATCAGGTATAACTATACAATTAAATTAACCAGTCAGTGTTCTCCCTGTTAAAGCTATTGTTTTTTTATTGAGAGTGTAATATCACTTGCCAAAAAACTGATGAAGTAGGAGTTTGACTTTTGGGAAGTCGTGGAGGATGCCTCGTTGGTTTCAGGGTAAGCCGAGTCCAGTCTCGATGAGATTCACAAGCACAATCCTGTATTTCTCATCAGTCTAGCTCTATGCACTTTTACGTTCAGTGGTTGGTGTTTATAATTAGCTTCTTTTTTTCTTTCTTTTTTTTAGCACAGCACCTGTTCCAGGTGTTCAAAAAACGTGGCAAAGTTCAAAACTGAAGAAAGGGATTTTTGGTACACCTCATTCACAAACCGTTAAATCAGATAAACAGACTCTTTTTCCTGTTTGAACACAAAGGAATTGCCTCAGACTGAAGATTCCTCTGGGGGGGAAAAATCATCACCACATCTTACCAGGCATTCAGTCTTAAAACAACACTGCAGATATTAAAGCGAGACTATGTTACTTTTGACAGAAGAAATAATACATCTTTCATCTTGCAAATGAAATGTTGAATTGATAAGCAATAAAACACACTATTGCTCAATTCAATACACTCATAAGTTTTATGGGTTAACATTACATCTGTTTTGACAAGTAGATTTTGGTGGCTAATGTTAGCTAACATAAGCAGATTTTAGGTACATTCAGCTGGGAAGGGCACTTTATTGACTGAGTTTGACTTTATAGCTCTCTCAACTTGTGCTGTGACAATAACTTAGCTTATGTTAAACTACTGTTTAGTATTTAAACCAGCTAAACAGTAGGACATTTTGATGCTAACATAACAGCCGTACTTAGTGTTGTGACTTGTAGCTTTTTGCGGCTAACGTCAGCTAATGTTAGCAAATTTTAGATTTTTCTGTATAAGGCTCATTACTGATTCAGTTCTGATTCAGGCTTTATGACTTTCCTCCACTTGTGCTACTATTACAATAGTTAAGCATTTTAGCTAAAGTTACAAAAGTACAGTCTCGCTTTAAACTGTAGCCTACAATAATACAATTTAACCAATATGAGGCTGTCAGAATCAGTACATCTACAAAAAGTAAAGTAGAAGACACAATCTGTTTGGTTTCTAATAAACTTCTCAGCCGCCCATGCATTTCCCCACCTCAGTTGTGAGTCAGAAAACCATGAGCTCACGTTTCACACAGTTCAGCCAGTCCGACAAAAGATCATTCAAAATATAAAGCTATAAATAAAGTGAAAGATGTTGTATGTTTTCTATTATCTTGTAGAAAATACTTTTGTAAGTATGTTGAAAGTATAAAGTATTTGGCTGGATTCTGCTTCCTTTGACGACAGTGACAAAACAATAATGTACATAGGAATTTGTGTTGACAAAATGTGGCTGTGCAATTTATGTACATTTGCAACTAGACCTATTAAAGTTTTATTTAGCTATTTTAAAATTTCATCCTCGTGTGTGTGTCTCTCCTAGCCTTGCTTGCATTGTTCTCTGCAACACTTTGTTATTATGAAATGTAAATGAAGCTTAATTTGAGTGCATGCAAGATGAATCACATGTTCATTAAATACTCAAAGCAGGCCTAGATAGATGACAAGCAGCTAGAGAGAGAACATATGCTCAGACTCGAGGTCCAAAGGCAGAGTGGAGGGTATGATGGAGGGATGTGACAGACTGGTTTGAGCAGTGCCTACTTCTCACTGAGCCTGACCTACATACTGCCTGATTGTTATTCCCCGTGGCGGGTAGGAGAAAGTCTGAAATGGCCTTAACAACAAAAATGGAGGGGATTTTGTTGCAAAATGTCTGAAAAAGCTGTAGCTGTTGAGCCGATTGTTATATAAAAATGCCTCACATTGTGTTTCTAAGTATAGCTCAAAGGCAGGAGAGATGCAGCATGAAAGTCTTTAATAATATTATGCAGTGTGTGATCGAATGGGGAAAGTGCACCTCATTAACAGCAGATTCTCATTGTGTGTATATTAAAGGAACGCTCCAGTGTTGTTAATTGCTCCCTATGAGGCACACTCATTTCTTTGGCCAAGTGGAACAGGCTCCCCGGGGCAAAGGCGTGCATTTAGGACATCAGGCTAATAAAACATGCTACTAGTTTTACCACTCTCCAATGCTCCCACCCATGGACTCAAAAGCACCGAAGGCTAGAAAACATAGCCACATATTAAGCCACTTGTTGATGCTAGGATGATTTCCTGCCAAGTGCAGAGGAACAGCTATGGAGTACTTTTAATCCACGCCAAAACAACTCCAAACGGAAAGGATAAAGTATTGCTTGCTTGGGTTATCAATTTAATGCAAGTACATTTTTGAGGCACTTCAGCGAGTATTTGATACTACTTTATACTGCTACTTCACTATGTTTCAGAGGGAGATATACAGTGGGGAGAACAAGTATTTGATACACTGCTAATTTTGCAGGTTTTCCTACTTACAAAGCATGTAGAGGTTTGTAATTTTTATCATAGGTACACTTCAACTGTGAGAGACGGAATCTAAACAAAAATCCAGAAAATCACATTGTATGATTTTTAAATAATTCATTTGCATTTTATTGCATGACATAAGTATTTGATCACCTACCAACCAGTAAGAATTCAGGCACTCACACAGCTGTTTTTTAAGAAGCCCTTTCTGTTCTCCACTACCTGTATTAACTGCACCTGTTTGAACTCGTTAACTGTATAAAAGACACCTGTCTACACATTCAATCAAACAGACTTCAACCTCTCCACAATGGCCAAGACCAGAGAGCTGTGTAAGGACATCAGGGATAAAATTGTAGACATGCACAAGGCTGGGATGGACTACAGGACAATAGGCAAGCAGCTTGGTGAGAAGGCAGCAACTGTTGGCGCAATTATTAGAAAATGGAAGAAGTTCAAGATGACGGTCAATCTCCCTCGGTCTGGGGCTCCGTGCAAGATCTCACCTCGTGGGGCATCAATGATCATGAGGAAGGTGAGGGATCAGCCCAGAACTACACGGCAGGACCTGGTCAATGACCTGAAGAGAGCTGGGACCACAGTCTCAAAGAAAACCATTTGTAACACACTACGCCATCATGGATTAAAATCCGGCAGCGCACGCAAAGTCCCCCTGCTCAAGCCAGCGCATGTCCAGGCCCGTCTGAAGTTTGCCAATGACCATCTGTATGATCCAGAGGAGGAATGGGAGAAGATCATGTGGTCTGATGAGACAAAAATAGAGCTTTATGGTCTAATCTCCACTCGCCGTGTTCGGAGGAAGAAGAAGGATGAGTACAACCCCAAGAACACCATCCCAACCGTGAAGCATGGAGATGGAAACAGCATTCTTTGGGGATGCTTTTCTGCAAAAGGCATAGGACAACTGCACCGTATTGAGGGGAGGATGGATGGGGCCATGTATCGCGAGATCTTGGCCAACAACCTCCTTCCCTCAGTAAGAGCATTGAAGATGGGTCGTGGCTGGGTCTTCCAGCATGACAACGACCCGAAACATACAGCCAGGGCAACTAAGGAGTGGCTCCCTAAGAAGCATCTCAAGGTCCTGGAGTAACCTAGCCAGTCTCCAGACATATGAGGAGCTTATAAAATTTGTTTTGTTATTATGTTATTATATACAATTACAGCTGAATATTTCTTCCACTGCAACAAACTGATAAACAGTAAACTTGGGGCTTTTGGTCCCCCAGGGGTCTGAAGTCGCATGGCAGTTCTCACTTTGCCAGATTGGCAGTCAAGCCTTGCCGCACAGTATTTGAAGTACTTAAAAGAGCTCCATCTCAACCATTACATTAAAATGATGCTTACAAATGAATGCATCAGTAAAAATCATCCTGTATATAAAGTAACCACTGTAGACTAATCAGTATTATGTCAGGTTCACAGCTGAAATAACTTGTACTGACAACTTTTATATCATGTATTTACAGCCTATAGTTTCATCAGCACCACTTCCGAAAAGTCAAGGACAAGACAAGGTGTTTGTATGAAATTTCAATGCAAGCAAAAAGGTAAAATCTTATCTTTCTGGCTGGTGATGGACACCACAGCTGCTGAACCACTGGGCAACACAAAAAAAAACTATGAAGACTAAAGCAGCTGCCAGCCTATGTGACAGAAGGTCGAGGAAACATTGGCAGATGGTTGTGCTGTGAAACACATCTAAGGTCTTACAACATACAGAAAATGAGCTATTTCAGGCTCATCTATTACCCCTTTGTTCAAGACACAGATGAATGTAGCTCAAACTGCAAACAGTGCTGCCATTATGTAATATCCTCCCCTAATGATGTGACAAATGGTGCCCTTTAATGAGACCATACGGGAAATCACATTAAATAAGACACCATTTGTGAAAAAGCTTGATTGGGAGATAAAGGGAGATTTAATTACAGTTTTAAATACGCAGGTTAAAGACTTTTTTTTAAAATCTCACAATAGTTCTGACCACATCAATACACACATCTTCAGTTCATAGAGCAAAATTAAGTTTATTTTTTGCATTGCTCTCAAATTCATTTCATTCATATGATTGATCGCTGTTAATAACCTTATAAATCTACTTCATGTCATCTTATACATACTGCAGTAAATATATTAGTCCTACAACATGTATAGCAGAAATAATTTAACATGTTCAGTTCACCGTATGTATTTAACAGCTGCCCACAATGCAGGTGTGTAAATAATAAGTCTGAGTGTGCTTTTGTGCAACACATCACACTTAATTCTTGGTCTGCATGTGACAAATTAATATTCTTAGTGTAAAAGAAAAAAAAACATACAAATCAAACGTTAATGTTCAGTAATTAACTGTAGTGTGAATAATCTCATATGACACATATCACATATCACACTCTACGACCATTCTGGTTGGCATCCAACAGTGGCGGTCATTTTGTGTGTAACTGAAAGCCACATCGCACACATTGGATATGGTTTTTATTACAAAAGCCACCTGGAACACATTTAAGAAACAAAGCATGTGTCTAAATTTTGAAATTCTGTGTCATGCATATTATTTCTGAAATAATTCATTCCCAAATGTCAGTTGTGTGGCTACAAAGTAATCACCCATGTTTGCTGGAGGTCTGAGGCTGCCTGACTGGGATAGCTGCTGAACTGAAATAGGATAAGTGGTGGCGTGGCCTTTTTCCCTTTGAATACTTATTCACTTAACTCATCGCTAATGGGCTCACAGAGCTAGGATGCACAGCTGGGCCACTGCCTGTAAATAGGGTATCACCACTGAGCTAAACACAAATAAATACAATACACACACACACACACACACACACACACACACACACACACTCTCAAACATACACAATGCTCCCACACAAATGCTCAGTCACCCCCCACATCCATTTCTGTGCAAATGATCAAAGAGTTGTTGTGCAAATTCAAGAATATGATATACATAACCGAGGACACTCCCTTACACCCATGTATTTATGTTATGTGTATAAATGCATTGAATGTGAAGCTAGAGCATCTACTGTAATCCCTGAAAAGAAAGTTGGTTTAGGTGTTGCCAGACAAAGGTAAAGGGAAGCAAATAGCTGCCCAGTAGAATCAGTAAGTATATTAAAAGCAGCCATGTCCTCCTCCTGATAGGACCACACTGTCCATATATGATCGAGCCAGGAGGGGAGGAAGGTATGCACCAACCTTCTCATATCGCTCGTTCTATTTCCACTCCTACCCGCGGACATCTTCATCTCCTCTGAAAAAAAATAAAAGCAATCAGGCTGAGTCAGTCCTCTTGCAAGTCAGCCAGCAGGGGTCAATCTAGTCCTTCTCTGAGCTCCCATCATGCCCCCTTTGCAGTAGCCGCAGAGGAGAGATGGATACCTAATTTCCCTGCTCCTGTGGAGAAGGCTAAAGGCAGTGTTTGGGGAGTCGGATAACTAGTTGAAGCCCCCCCATCAGTTCTCCACGTTGGCCCTGAGTGTACGAGGCTTGAGTCTTTGATGCAGCCGGTAGTCCTGGCTGGCCGCCCTACGCAGGGGAGCCGGAGAGTTGAGATGAGGGTTGGTGAGGCCCAGCGTCTGAGTCTTGACGGCTCGTGGCAGCGCCCTGCTGCAGCTCACAGAGCGTCTGTCTTCGACACCTGGCTGGGACTCGAGCTGAGCCTCGCACATCTCCAGCAGTGATGCTACCTGCTCCCTCATCACCAGGGACTTAAACCTGCGACCTGCCAGGTAGAAAAAGGCTTCCACAAATGCTTGTAGTCCCATACCTGGCAAACAGAAAGTGTGGCTGAGGTGAGGCCAAAGAAATACTTAGTGGGAGAATGCAGAATTGAAAAAATGTTTTTACTTTTTATAGAGTTGCGAATTGCTCGCTCTTACGGCTATACGCTAAATGTGAAGCTAATGCTAACAGCTGGTTAGTTTAGCTTAACCCTAGCCTTGCTCTATCCAAAATATCCAAATATGGAAAAGAAAAAGACTTTCCACTTTTCCACTTCATCTTTGAAAGAATATTACTTACTACCTCTAATTATATAAAAAAAGTTATAATAGATAGAAATATGTGGATTGGATCTGCAGATTTTGATGCACATTACATAGTTTTACATGCGTCAGTAGTTTCATTAATTACTTAAATATTCTGGCACACAGGGATCTTATGGTAATTGACCTTCCATACGATGAGAGAAGCTAATGTGATCATTTTAATTATTTTATTTTTATAACTTTCAGATCTTGCCTAGGGACCAAAGTCAGAGCAACTGAAGGCCAAAGAATGAATGAGAAACTGTTCAGAAAACAGGAGCAAGAGTCGAATTTTCACCCAGTGGTCTCCCTAATATTTTTTACTTCCTCTGTTAATCTTGACCTGGTAGAGGACGACAAATGTGTTGAAAACCAGGATTCTATGGAGCGAAAAAGAATCACGAGGTGCCAATTCACACCAGACTTGGCAGGTCATTTGCTGTAACATTCTTACACATCACAACAAGAGTCTGGTGCAAGACAGCATTTACATAAATTCCTTCATGTGTCCTAAAAACTTTGCCATATATCCCAAACAAAACTTTTTTTAAAGTCATAATTTGTAAATACAAGTTTTATGCCTCTTTTCTTGGTTCCCCACAAATCCTCCAATGCACATAAACAGAAATAACAGACTTCAGTCTCCCTGAATCCATATGAGCTCATTCTAATTTCAGCCCACAATCTTCTCTGTGCAGGCTCTTCCATTCTGGCCCATGTGATCTCCATCCATCCGCTTCGCCTCGCAAACATTCCTTGCAAGGTGCAATGTCTGAATAATTCATGTCTGATACTCTCTTCGCTGTCACATTGTGATCTCAGCTCATTTCAATTATGGTAGCGTTGTGTCAGAGGGAATCTGACAAAGAATGACATGCAATTATCTGCAAGCACATTATTTGCTCTGAGTCTAAAGGATGCCTGGCTCTCTGCCCTCTACATGTTGTTTCTTTGTGGCCGTTTTGCTTTCGCATGCATGAGAGAGTATGTGTTTGTGTATGCGTTACCTGCTTCTTTAGACTCGGGTATTGCTCCTGACCAACGACGTGTGATGTCTATGTAGAGAATGTCCACTGAAGCCATGGTGAAGTTACTGTTGCTCAGTTTGCAGGTCCTAAAAACAATCAGGAAATGTTCTGTGTCAGTGCACATGAGTGCACATGTCATCCATTTTTGCAGGCAAAAATAACGCCAACGTTAAATGTGGTATAATTTGTTTTATTTAAAACTAAAAGGATGGGAAATGTCTTTGGGGAAATATCAGAGGAGTATGTCTGTCTTTGATTGACAGCAGCTGGGAGGCTGAGCCCCGGCCAGGGAACATCAAGCAAAATAAACAAGTCATGGGCACACCAGCATTTAAATGGGCTAAAGTGATATTTGTATCTAAGTTTCCATGCTGTTTAAAGAGGTGGTATTATGCTTTTTAACTTTTTCCCTCTCCTTTATTGAGTTATATATCTTTTTTGTGCATGTAATAGGTTTGCAATGTGAAAAGCCCAAAGTCGACCCCAAAGGGAGTTCCCATCTCCCACAGAAAACTCTGCTCTGAACTGCCTGAAAACAGCTCGTTTGTAGTCCAGCCGTTTCCCTTTCATCCCTGTGACGACACAGCAAAACATGCGTCATAATGCTCGTGCTCATAGCACCCTCAAAAACACCAGTGGAAAAACAGTGAAGCTGTGTGCTGACCAGGTGTCCGCCTGCTGCCTCTCTTCTCCCTTCCAAACATTAGCTACCCTCCAGGCAGTCAATGGACATAAAGTTGTTACTGTGATGTAACAGTAGACAGAGCTCAGTTAAAACTTTATGGATCAAAGATACATTTGTTACAGATTAATAACTCTTGCTCCAGTCTATGTTGCTAAGCTGGTAAGGGGAACATATACAGCTGAACCAAAGCCCTGTTTACCGGCCTCTCACTGACCCGCCCTTCTCTGCGTCTGACTGGCTAGTAGTCCTTAACTAGAAACTGCACATGTGCAGCTTCCAACAAAGATCATGTAGAGGCAAGATGTATCACTCCACAGCTAAAATGGAGCCTTCAACACACAGGGTCAAAAGAGGAGCTGCAGCAATGAGCACTGACAAAAATATGGTGTTTTTTGAAAATGAAACCATGTAAACCTGTTCTGGTACAACCCTTAAATAAGATTATGAACCTGAAAATGAGCATAATAACACTTCTTGTGCTGTAGCTCACCAACTAATTAGCACGTTAGCAGTAAACTTTTCCCCGGTGAATGCTTGCTTGGTCACTCGTTCAACAAGGTAAGGCGAAGGACAAGGCGTGTGTTCATGTTTGTGAGCTAGATAAGAAGGAGACTTTAGCAGGAAAGCAAATAAGAGTTGCTGTTTTGGTGTCATTTGGAGGCAGCTGCTTTTGTCCTCTGATGTCTGTGTTGGAGTTTCTCACACACACACACACACACACACACACACACACACACACAGGTTCCTCAATCCTGGTGGTGACATCTCATTGCCATAATGCATTCCCTAGCCCATTAACCCTAATCTTAAAAAAACACAACTACGTGCCTAACCTTAACCATTCCCCTAACCTTTAACTAAATGTAACCTGAACCCTAAAACCAAGTTTTAACCCTCAAAAAGCAGTCTCTACCATTGGGAATGCCAGTTTTTGTCCCCAGGTGACATGAGTCCCCAGCGGTCAGTGTGCACTCACTCCCCATCAGGATATAAAAACATGAAACACACATTGTGTGTTTTTACACGCCTCAAAACAGTGCTGCGAAACTGATCGGCTTGAGCGCTCCTAGTTTCGCCAGACTGTTTAACTTACAGGACATCAGCTACTCTGCTAAACACTGGCTACAGTGTGATGCTGAGGCTGTGGTGATGAGTTGTTCTGTGTGCCGCCAGCATGACAAAGACCAGTGAGCAAAAGAGTTCATTTTGGACACTGCGTCTGCCTATGATGGATCGGTGATGGTGTTGCTTTATGCAAACATTTAATTGGCTTAAATCTTTTCTCAGTCTCTGTCTACATAAATAAAGAACAAATGGTATTCCATCTGAATAAATGCAAACTGATGCACCATCATGAAATCAAAAACTATTAACTATACATTCCTCCCTTTTGGTTTGTGACTTTTCTTTTTCCACAAAGGAGAACACAGGACATGTGATTTACAGAGAAAAAAACAGGAAAAAAAAAATCTCTTCAAGTTCAGTTATCTTTATTTGAAAAACTCAAAATAAAGGCTGCTAGACTTCATACCGTACAAATGGTAGTGATATGCACGACAGACTGTCATAGCTCTCAGCTGAAGCCAGATTATACCCCAGTCTGCTTATTTTCCGAAGGAAAGCTGTATTTACTTGTATGTACCTGAATCTTTTTCAGCTCTAATAAGAGCACTCTGGTCAAACACATACATATCCCAATGCGTAGTTACGTATGTGTAGACCCAAGAGTAAATTACACAGTTATGTCCAGGGCTTTTGTAGAACGGAACACGTTGCAAACAGTATTAGACAATCAAAAAGTGCTTACACTTCTAATGAACAAATGCAAATGTACCTAAAGAAGACGATATGACGATGATTATACACGTTTCTATCCGATGTCATCCTCTGTTTCATGGATTTTATAGGTAGCTGTGTGCTTAAATGTAGCTGTATGGTATTGTAGTTAGCCGCCATTTTTTTACCCTAACCCTCTTTACCTTTATTTTGTTTATATTATATGTGTTAACATAAACAATTTATTAATAGTTTTATGTTGCTATTGATTAGGTTGCGTTGTGAGATCAGCTGCTCTGATCTTTTTTTTTTTTTACTTTAGACCTTGCTTTCACAAGTGGATTCATATTTTTATTTGGACATTTTGTCCAATGCGTGGACGGCCAGGAAGATCAGCAACTGCTATGGCAAAAGCTAAAGGGGATCCCATAATATAAATAAATACAATTTGTACCTGATGAAGGTTCGGAAGGCAGTGGGGCCCAGACGCATGTTGCCCTTGACCCCGAGGAAACGTATGAAGAGAGTTGCAATTCGCTCCACCAGCCGCAGGTAGTTGAACTGTTTGGTGTACTTTGGGTAGACCTGCTTCAGACACAGAGAGGGCAGAACTCCTTCATCGGGGCTCCTTTCTTGCGATTCCGCTTCCATGGGAATCTCCTCTCCGTGTTCAAACCCACCAACCCTTGGTTGGGAACTTTGGCCATGACATGATAGGACAGAAACAAAAACAATAGATTATTATACATCTTTTTTTTTTCCCTTTAGCAAGCTGGCCAATTAAATCTCCACAGCTGCTGGTTAAAGATGACAAAAAGTCCCTACATCAGGGCTCAGTAATGGCCTTCAAGCCCTGCAGGGCTGAAGCACAAGCCCAAAAGGCAAACCCAGAGAGCTTTTGTCAGCTACAGTTACAGACAGCCAACCACCTGAGATAGATAAATGCACCAAGCTTTTCACTGCACTTACAGTCCGGCTTGACAGGGGAAACAGGAAGAATAATGTTGTATGAAGGACAAATAACTCTTTTCACTCCCTCATCTCACAACCTCCATACAGCCTTTTTACGGTCTCTGCTTCCATCGTCAACATTTCACTGCATCAGTAGCAAGAACTGAATTCTTATGAAGAGAAAGTTGATACTTCTTGGATACTTAATTAAGTAAAAAAAGCCCAGAAAGGAAGGGGACATTTGCATGCCTGTTAAAAAGCCACTGTGGATCTCTGCGGTTTATTCTTTCTAGGACATTGACAATGAAAGTCGCAGCTTGAAAAAGACCTATACTGCAAACTCCATTGCAACTACTGATGGTGGACAAATTGGTTAATTAAGGTTAATTACTGACATCGCAGTTTATGCTTTGAATGCTGATGAGGCAGAAATATAAAAGCCCTTATCAGTTAATGAGATTGGCCAAAAGAAGTCCATCGACATGCATTCAACATGTTTGTCAGGCTACACACAACAAGTTTAGGTTAGAAAGTAAACGCGTGTTTGTTCGTTTTTGTTTTGTTTGTTCCAATTATTATTTCACAGGGTACCTTTGAAGGCCGTGCACACCATGGCCCCAGGAGAAGTGCTGGACTGTGGGGCAATTTTGTTGTAGCAGCTACAGTGAGAATTTCAAGACAGCCCGCTGATTTCACCATTCACAATCATTACAAAAGAAAAAAAAAAAAAATAGGATTATTACATTTTTCTGACACAAAAACTCTTAAGTGACTTTTTGTAATATCAGAATTTGATCCATTGGATTCACTAAAGAGGGTTTCCCTCTGAACAAAGTCCCACTTAGAATCAGTGTTTCTCACCAAAAGGCATTGTGTGTATTGACAAGGGAAGTCTAACCAACGTGTTGAATAGTGTAAACGTGTTTCTTTTATTTGCCCTTTGCACTACCTGCCTGTCTCTGGTCGCCAGCAATCCCTTTGGGTTTCTCCTCTCCCTAGAGTTTTGCTGCCTCTCACAGAAAACAAATGCAAGCCAGATGCTAGGTGCGTTTTCACCCCCATAAATGTGTGGGCGTGCGCACGCTGCGCTTGACTGATGTCTCCTTCCCTCTCCTGTTAGCTTTGCGGTACTGTAGGGCAGTACCAATTATAACTTTATCATTCTTATTAGTTCATGGAGTCCAGTGACCTCAAATAAGTCCCATCCTAGCAACCTGAGCAGAGGTCTCATCAGCCAGGAGAAGTTAAAAACATGAGTGGGTGTGCGGGGCCTCTAAGGACAACTTCTACAGTCAACAAATGTGTCCACGCAAACACACGAGCAACAAAGAGAAACTCACAAAACTACATCCCCGTCAAGGGTATACAGTACTGCTGACTTTTATGAGGCGGTTTCTTTCTCCATGAATTAGTAAGCAGTGTGAATGGCACCAAGAGAGCACTGCTGAATGTTTAATAGAATCAATCATCCTTCAGCCGCCACAGGGACACCACCCACATCTATTTAGACAGGACAGGCTCGGCTAAAAACGGACACATCTTCAACAGAAGCTGACAGCCAGACAGACAGTGAAGGGAACGTCTCCAAACATTCCCAGCAGACGGAGAGAAGAAAATGATGATGGTGAAGCGAGAGGGTAAAAGGTGAAGAATGGCAGGTTATTAAAAAGACATACAGAGACCTGGTGCCAAATGTTAGTTGAGCGTGTGCGAGGAGGACTAGGCCTAATTCAGCTGTCATTATCAGACATAAACACTATTGCTGGCCTCCTGGTGAATAAATCCTCAAAGATTCTGTACACTGTCGAAAGTCATACAAAGGTGCCGGATGTGTCAATGAAAAGAAATCAAAAGTGTCCGCACACTTATATCCATTTCAGAAATATGAATTTATTGCCTGAGCTTTAAAACACACACACACACACACACACACACACACACACACACACACACACACACACACACACACACACACACACAGACAAAATGGTTTCCCACAGGTATACAATTAACCTTTTCTTACTTGTTTCTATGGACACAAACACAAGAATCAGAACACTAACAAGCTGATATGAATTAATGTTTTCATAATAACAATCAAATGAGAAAAATGAGACAATGTGAAAAGCGGTCGCACATAGTGATGAACAAACCCCCACAGTAAACATAGCAACTAAAGACATATTTTCCTCAGGAGTTGGTAGAGACCAAAAACAGAGCTAAAAGAGAGTGAATATTTAACTTACATTCTCCAGGTGGCTGGAAATATATGACAATGTTGCTCCGTAACTACAGGATGTGTAAATAAGCAAGTATTTGCAAACAAGTTCACAATATTAACTTAAAAGGTGATAATGTGTCAAATAACGATACGTTTTTATTTTGGTATCCAAAATCAGTTATTCCAGGTTTAAAATACAAATTATGGGCATTTTATTCAAAGCTGACACCATGAGAAAAGGTCTCAATTTCAAACACTGCATTTTGGACACAATGATCAACCTTAGTTACTTTGGACTGAACTCAATCCACCTCAGCACATTATTTCTTTTTATGCAGATGATGCTTTTTGCAATCGTGTCCCTTGCACCCTATTTAAAAAGGGTAGGAGTGCCTATGAATAGTTGTAGCCCTAAAGAAGTTTAATAACATTGTTGGATTTAACTAGTTCCAGCTTTTTGTTCTCACCCACACTCGCACGCACACCTCTCACAATGGCTCATAAATCACCCTCAGAGCCATCACACACAGGATTAATGAGCTAGGTGCGAGAAGTACATGTCTGAGAGTCACTGATACCATCACACCTCCTCATAATTCCCCATTTATCTCTTCCCCCTTTCCTCCAAAATGCCACTTTCCCCTCCTTTGTTCTGGCATTTTATATTTACTTATCCCTCTTATATACGCTCTCACTCCATCTCCTTTAAATGGAGACACCTTTTTTTTTTTTACACTCAGCTGTACCTTTGTATTGTGTACCTGGTCAGTTCTCACCTCTCTTTCGCTTCATCTTGACAAGTCAAATTCACACAGCAGTGACTTCAGCCTAAACTCTGAGCTCTGAATGACTGAATCCCATCCATCCCGCTGCAGAACAGCTGTCAGCGACCACAACACAAGTATATTTACTTGCTGGTAGACCATCTGTGCAGTAACCAAATTCCTTAACCTCCCATAACGATGTCGGGAACATTTTGTTTGTGCTGCAAAAGACTGCCTGTTTGCAGAACAATAAATGAATCAAATCAATCCTTCCCCATTACAATCCAGCTGAAATGAATCTAAATACATGGCAGCTGAAACCAAGTCTTCTTTAATTATTATTATTATTTTATCCTATGATAGTGTGGAATCAAAACTGCTAAAACACTGAGTAACAGCTGAGTACATTTACTTGAGTACTGTACTTCTTTATACAGGTTTTTGTACTTTTACTTTGATATTTCACAACAAAAAAACAAAGATTAGAGAAAAGTCAAAACAATAAATACAGATTTGTGCAGCTGAATTATGTTTTTTCTTCTTTCCTACCTCGTCGTCAGTGATCCCGTGCCTCTTCAGATTTATCTTGTAATCCTTTTTTAAAAAAGGGCCCAACACCTAGGTTGTGAACCACTGAACTAAACTACCTAACTGATGATCACCTAAATTATATAAACTAGTTCAAACTGGCTCCAGCTCGACCATGTCGATCATGTGTTGCTTTTTATCCTTTAAGTACATTTGATATATCATGATACTGCTGTAGGATTTGTACGTGTAATGGAGTATTTTTACCCTGTGGTCTTGGTACGTTTACTTAAATCTACTAAAGGATCTGAGTACTGAGTACACCGCTGACTAGTGCCTTATCGTTGGACACAAATGGCTTAATTTGTACTAAAATCACAATTAACGTAGCATTTCATCTAGAAGAAATGTGTGTTTTCCATCAGATAGGCTTGTATGTAAAATGCATCTACCTTTGTGCCCATGTAAACACACAGAGAACACTCTGTGGAATTGAATGACGAATGAGTTCCTATTTAGCATCCCTGTCTTTGGCTGCAGTAATGATTACATATTTTGGTGCACATCCAATCTAATGGCTAATTTAATAAATATTAGCACTAGCTAGTTGGGCTATAATTAGCATACCTCCAACCCCCTCCTCCCCAAACCACAAAACCCAGTGACTATCTGCGAAGCTGACAGCACAGTTTGCTGCGTTCACACGATATGAATAATAAATCTTTGTGTTTGAGATGCACATGAATTGTGCTAAACTACAACAGAGGTAGTTTGATTTTTGATTTTATAGTTGTTTTTTTTTTACATGTTTTGGTTTTTCAATATTACATTCCTAATTTGTGATAATATATGTAATCTAGGAGATTCAGCTGACAGCACCTGATTTACTTAATAGCCGAGTAGTGACTGTCTAATGCTCAGCATCCAAGATGTCTAATCACACGCTCCATATACTTCCTCCACAATACCTGATAGACTAGGCCTACTGTTACTGGCTGATTTATGTCATTATTGTGTTTGTTGTTAATTTTGCTATTGAAAAATATGTCTGCTCAAGAATTATATTTTTCCCTCTCCATTAAATTTAGAACTTTATTAAGACTTCTGTCCTGTTTGATGTCACAGCATAAAGCTGCAAACATAAAGACACATGAGACTCTAAAACTTACTGCTAGTCACTTTAACTTCCCTCACATCATAAACCCTGTCCTTGTTGGTGTCGCTGTTTCTTCTACAGCAGTGCTACACTTTTACAGACACACTGAATTATATCATATTATGGATCACTGAACCTGTTTCCCTGCTTCAGTCTGGACTTAAGCCTCTTTTCACCACATGACTGCAGACTGTAAATACTCTCTCACGCTGATATATTTTATAAAGATATTCTTCCACTACTTAATTGGCTTTAGGGGGCTTAAAATGTGGAGATCATATGTCAGCGTCTCAAATAGATTAGTGAAATAAATGGGAGGTAAGTTCACACAATTAAATGAGCAAGATGAGTTAAAGCACAATCCGTTGTCATGTTATAAATCACTGAAAGATCGTTTCATACAAGTGTAACTTCTTATGTGTGATGTTAGGACTAATAGTTCAAGAACTAAAAGTAACATTGTGACAACACATATTACTTCCTTAAACACACACTGCCCAAAAATCGAACCTAAGATCCCCTGATTTTGTTGTCAGTTGGACATTAAACTTTTGGTGGTTGAGCCAATATCGGTCCAGCTGTAATTTTCATTAACAATAATCTGCAAATTATTTTTCTTGATTTATAAAATGTCAGTCACAAAAAAAAAAAAAATCACAAATTTCCTTAAGGTCAGCATGAGATCTTCAAAATGCATATTTTTCACAGTTCAAAACCCACAATGATAATCACGGCAAACTCTCACATTTTAGAAAATTGTTGAATCTTAATTTTCTGTTGATCGGATAATTGAGCTCAAGCTTAAAAGGCGTTTTATGTTAAAGATACAGATATAAAGGTTTTGCTAACTCCTACTAACTCGGGGCCTAACACAGAAAGTATAAGAGACGTTCGATTAAAGGATTAGAGATCTCTTAAAGTATGTACATAGGAATTAGTTTATAAAGGAACAGAATTCTAAATGTACTACATTATACTGCAGTGTAATGATTTCCACAGACAAGTACAAGATGTGGTTCTGCTGCTTCTAGCTGGATAAAAATAAAGCAATGCAGCAGGAATGAGGATTAAACATTATAGACGCGTTATATCACTATGTTACTGGTCATGAATATAATAGCTAAGTGGGTATTATCCCTGGGAAGATATCCCTCTCACTTGCAGAGCAAAGCAGATCAAATATCTGATATAGAAGATAATCTGTGGAGGAGGCAAGAAAGAAGTGTAAGAAAGGGAGAAAGGCAAGAAATGGAGATGGTGGTAGACTAGAAACAATAAATCTTCTTGTCACAGAAGAAAAACAGATTGAGGGGAGAAACAAACCCTAATGGTAGAGGAGATTTATTGCCAGGCTCCACACAGGGCCAGTCAGCCAGGGAGACTGAGCCACCAGACTTGTATAGTAATGTGTGAATTTCCACCGCGGCTCAGCTGAATTAAATTTTTCCATTTAACAGGCTTATGGAGAGCTGTTGAGTGGTGCAGAGCTGGGCACGAGGAAGGATGGGCAGAGTAAGATATCATGTACTTAAAAGTAGACTCTTAAGACCAGCAGAAGAAAGAAGGATGTAAGAGCTCCAACTTCAAACTGTGTCTTTACTGTTCGTGTGTGTCTGTGTCTGTGTTTGTGTTCTTACATTGAAGGTTTCTTGTGGCCAGGATCCATAAGGCGCAGGGTGTCTCGGATCACACTCACTTTAACCTCTTCGTCGACTGGACTAGGGACATATTCAAAAACTCCTGGTGCCACCTGAAACACACAAATATTCATTACAGAATAATAATAATAATAATAAAGCTATGATAATAATGATGTTGACGTTCACTCTTACCTCCTGTTCATGTTCTATTCTCATACTGGGGTTGGAGTTGACCTCTAGTAATACTGGCTTCAGGTTCTTCATTAGCAGGATGTCAAAACCTAATATCTGAGACACAAACACAAACCTAATATACACTGAACAAAATTATAAAATGTAACACTTTTGTTTTTGCCCCCATTCATCATGAGCTGAACTTAAAGATCTAAGACTTTCTCTATGTACACAAAAGGCCTATTTCTCTCATATATTGTTCACAAATCTGACAAAATCTGTGTTAGTGAGCACTTCTCCTTTGCTGAGATAATCCATCCACCTCACAGTTGTGGCATATCAAGATGCTGAGCAGACAGCATGGCTCACACAGGTGTGCCTTAGGCTGGCCTCAATAAAAGGCCACTCGAAAATGTGCAGTTTCACTGCATGACGGGTGTCCAGGGGGATCCGGAAACCAGTCAGTATCTGGTGTGACCACCGTTTGCCTGATGCAGTGCAACACATCTCCTTCGCATAGAGTTGATCAGGTTGTGATCAGGTTGTTAGGTTGTTGATTGTGGCCTGTGAAGTGTTGGTCCACTCCTCTTCAATGGCTGTGTGAAGTTGCAGTCAGGTCAAGACCTCGATGAGGACAACGAGCATGCAGATGAGCTTCCCTGAGACGGTTTCTGCAGAAAGTCTTTGGTTGTGAAAACCGATTGTTGCAGCAGCTGTCCGAGTGGCTGGTCTCAGACGATCTTGGAGGTGAAGATGCTGGATGTGGAGGTCTTGGGCTGGTGTGGTTACATATGGTCTGCGGTTGTGAGGCCGGTTGGATGTACTGCCAAATTCTCTGACACGCCTTTGGAGATAGCTTATGTTAAAGAAATGAACATTCAATTCACGAGCAACAGCTCTGGTGGACATACCGCAGTCAGCATGCCAATTGCACGCTCCCCCAAAACTTGCAGCATCTGTGGCATTGTGCTGTGTGATGGAACTGCACATTTTAGAGTGGCCTTTTATTGAGGCCAGCCTAAGGCACACCTGTGCAGTACCCATGCTGTCTGATCAGCATCTTGATATGCCACACCTGTGAGGTGGATGGATTATCTCGGCAAAGGAGAACTGCTCACTAACACAGATTTTGACAGATTTGTGAAAAATATTTGAGAGAAATAGGCCTTTTGTGTACATAGAGAAAGTCTTATATCTTTGAGTTCAACTCATGATGAATGGGGGCAAAAACAAAAGTGCTGCGTTTATAATTTTGTTCAGTGTATATTAGGTTTATATTTCAGAATATAAGGAGACTGTGTACTAGGAGTATACTATGTCTTGCTGCCAACGAAATACATTTTACATTTATTCATTTGTAAGTGACTTACCATTGCTATATATGTTAGAGGTCGTACGCCTCTGACATAGGGGCTAAGTGTCTTCCTCAGGGACACAATGGTGGACGGGTCACAGTGGGAGATTGAACCCGTGTCTCTCACACCAAAGGCAAGTGTCTTATCCATTGCGCCATCACCACCCCATTTATAACAATATTTTAACCATGTAGCTAAATGAATCAAATAATAAAACAGGATTTATATTTTACCTCCACCAAAAAAAACCTGAGTAACTGTTAATGTTTTTTTTTTTTTTTTTAAAGAAAGCTTTTGACAAAAATCTGAACAGCTCACTTGGCCCAACTGCATGCACATTTAAGATTGCCCCTACCTTCAACTCATCAGTTTCCGGTCTACTGTCAAGTTGTGCACAATGCCAGGCTTCAATATTGGATAATGGGGTAAATTTAACAATTGTGGAATATCAGCTGGGCTTGATCCTGCACTGCACAACAAATGATGAATACTACCGAGAAGTTATTTAGGATGGACTTAGGATGGACTAAGCACACCTCCATGTTTTTATGCCTCTTTGTTTACATTCTGGGACTTCTGCATCATGAAAAGTTGTGCTGCTTCAGCTACAATCAACTGCAATACTTTTACAGTCATGTGAAAAAATGTGAAAAATGAAAGAAGACCTGAAGTTATAAGGAACACCTTTTAATATGATTAGTATTTATGGACGTTTATCTTCAAAGGACATCAGAGATCTTGACGTCACTGTAAGGAGGGAATTCCAATGACTGTAGCAGTGTATGATGTCTTTGCGTTTACACTGTTTTTGAGTAATGACTCCGATTAGGTGACATGTGAAGGAGAAGCAGGAGGGCGAATGTTATGTTTTTGTTATTTGTTCAGAGTGTTCATATCCAAATAGTGTATTCTTATTTGTTTACACCCGTGCTGTATACATTCTACCGGTAAGACAATGTTACCCACTACCCACCTGGAAGCAAGTGGGTCCTGGTTTACCCGGCGGTATATCTGCCTGATAGTAGACTTTAAGTTCAGGCACCACAGCAATGACGGTCTTGATGACAAGAGCGATGATGTCCGACCACACCTTCTTGATGTCTACGCCTTTAGCTGCCAGCCTGTACAGCACGCTGGAGAGAGTGCGCTTGCTGCCTGTGCTCTGGCTGTCTGAGTGGACAAAGTTGCCGCTGTGGACGTTGAGGGAGTAGTTGGTCAGGTGCATGAACACATGGGTCAGATTCTTCTGGCTTGGTTCCTACACAATCAGAATGAGAGTGACTTTAATTATCTGTGTGCTATAAAAGTACAAGTACCCGTTTCACGGCATCAAAGCAAATTAACGGCTTCAAAGTAGCACTGTCATAGCTACCTGGTAGGGCTCGGTGCAAAAACGCGTCAGGCCTTCCTTGGCGATGTAGATCTCCAATGGCTCCAGGGACTTTATCAGCACGTAGAGGCGGATATCAAACTTGAGCTTGTCAATGAGTAACGGCTTCTGGATGTACTCCTGGACTACAGCCTGTTTGGCCAGTGAACCCGACATGAGCTTTAGGTCACTAGGGTCACGGACGAGGTAGATGCCGTCCCCCTGAGAGCCCCCATCTGGCTTGACAATGAAGGTGGGACTCACTGTGGCATCGTTCTCCTTCACCATGCGAATCTGTAGTGGAGGTGAGAGTGAGGTTAAGGTTCACAAAACCTCACACGATTCACACTTCGTTTCACACACAGTGTTTAAGTGATGAAAGTTTAATGAAAGGTTTTAACAAGTGTCACAGGTCTTTAAAAACTCATTGTGAAACTCAACCAGACATAGTCTAATTTAAAAAAAGTGGTCGAGTTACAGGACATACGGAATTCAAAGTAACTGTTCATCTTCTGAACTTACAAATGAATGAGTTAATGAAGCTTGTTACATGGCTATAATTGATCGATGAAGAAACAAAGTCAATTAAGAATTGTCCAACTAGGATGCTGCATAAGGTCTTATGTTTGTTTAGTTTTTACAAATAGCATGTTGTTGTTTCTAGATATGTTGTCTTTCTGTAATAGTTTACAGCAGAAACAGATTGGCAGGAGAGAATAACAGAAATTACAGAACCCTTGATAAGTACAAGGATTACCCTTACTGTACAATATTTGATATTTAAGTTAAATACACTTATTTAACGTTTAGCTGCACTGTAAATTTTGCACAAGCCTCAGAATACACTGCATATATTAACTATATTAAGCCAAGCCTTATATTTCTGTTCGAGTACATTATATCAGATCTAATTGACATAATTATGCCCTGCCTTCCAAACTATATATTACTGAATGATGATTATTCTCTTGCTTTATCTAAAAAAAACAAACAAAAAAAAACATTGTTCTGTGGAATAACAGCAGCAAAAGAAATGGTAGTTAACGAGAAGGAAATATCTGCATAATCTAAAAACAGACCACTGGCTTTCATCGTTTTATAAAGCTCTTTCTTTAGAATCATCAATGGGAAGAATGCGGAGCTGGGGCATGAAGGCTGAGGCCTCTTTGAGCTCTAGCTCTTGTAATGGGAAAAGTAAAATCACAACTGAAAATACATATTTCCATGAAACACTATCAATGCTAAAACTGACACAAGCTCTGCCATGGTTATATTCTTACATCCATATTGACTAATATGATGCACGGTTTAATGTAATACTCCACATGTGACCCACTAATTCAGCCTACAGTAGCAAAATTCACTCCATAGGGGAAATAATAACCAATTATTATTTTATGGCTTAAAATAACTAAGAACTCAGGTAGCTGGGGGTGGTAGAAGGTCAAAAAGAAAGATGGTAGAGTAGGGGTAGAGCTCCCAGAAGCAGGCACGCATGCGCAGAATGCAACGTCGGTTTGTTTGGGTCAATGACAACACGGCGGAAGACAACGCTGCAGAGTCACTCTGAAGTCCGGTCATAATTTAGTTTTTATGATAGTGCTGAGGGAAACTTGATTGAAGAAAATAACCTTACAGTGAACGCAGGGTGAGTTAACTTTTAGCTTTGGTTTTTCTCTCTGACTTGCTAACAGCGTATAAGCTGAAGCTCTCAGTCTTAGCTGCTCTTGTAAAAACGCTACACGTCGTTCTGTTGCTGTGTGCATCGGCAGATCCGTCCACTGCACATGATAACACCTTACGCTGTTTAGTCAACCAACCAGCATATCTACAAACGCTACAGACTCCTCTGTATTTATGTCAGTTGTTTGGCTCATTGCAGTCACTATCACTGTCTTCTAAAGACTTATTTGTTTTCATGTAATTGTCCACGGGGTCATTGTATTACTTATATAATATAAAATCTTGATAATGCACACTTAGATGATTTTCATTTGTTTACAAAAGGTATTTGCTGTTTATTTATTTTATTTTTTATGCAAACAAAAAGGCAATTGTATTTGTAGTTTTCAATATAAAACTTGTTGAAATGGTTCCAGTGTGTGTATCAGTACATTGTAATATTTTGGGCACATTTTTACAATACCGTGATAATATTGATAACCGTGATAATTTTGGTCACTATTATCGCAGTGTTTCCCCTATATGCATTCAGGAGCAGCGCATCGTCACTCCTGAATCATGACCGCCGCTACTTACTACGCTAAATTAGCTAACATCTCCACTCCCCTTCAGACTGCGCAGCTGAGCAGCTACATAGCTGCTATGTAACTTAACATTAGCTCAATTTACAGAAAGTAACTGGAAGCTGTATTTTATTACTGCCTACTTGTCCAATGTTGAGAACATCAGGTACAAACTTGACGTAGCCTGCAGTCCTGTACAGACTGATTAAATTATTATATTTTAGTTTTCAGTCTGAAAAAGTGGTGTTGGAAAAGAAAGGATGGAGGTGACTGGAGGAGCTGAGGTTAGTAAAGCAAATTAGTGATGCAAACTAGTCCTTTTAAGCTAATGAGGAGACGTTTCTTTGTGTATTTTAATGTGCAAATAAAATGCATCTCAGAAGGGAGGAGGCTTCTCATGTTGCCTATTTTTCATATTAATGACTACAGATAAATGTCAGAAGCTTGTGAAGACACAAAAGGCAAACATGAACAGTTGTATCTATAATGATTCTGAGGTCATATTAACAGGGTTTTTCTGCCGTTAAGGCTTCGGGTGATGCCCAAAACATGCTGTGCCATCAATGTAAAATCACTGTGGAGCAAAAGAACCAACCAAATTACTTTCTCCAGATCTAAAGGTTGTAGTTCCTCCAGTAGACTGATCTTTGGGTGTTGTTTGTTTATTATCTGCTCTAGCTTTTCCAACTATTTGTATGGTATGGTGAAAATAATGGCCCAATATGATGTGAAATTACATATTTTTCATTGGAAAACATAAAATTTTCTTGGGGGAGAACCAGCAAACCCCCCCCGACCAACACCAAATCATTCATCTAAAGCTCACATTAAACTGGGAAAACACTGCAGTTTTAAGCTATTCTAAGGTGCATCGCATCGCTTATGGACACAAGAGTAATGTTTCTGAGACATGTTGTGTTGGGGTTTTATATTCAGAAAAAAAATTTGCTTCACCTCCGCTGCCACAACTCCATCCTAGGGGAAACACTGAATCGTGATATGAAATTTTCATACGGTTTCATCCTGAAGTTCATATATAATGTCTCCTAAAAAATGAATGCAAAATAGGACATAAAGGTCAACTAATAATAATTTAGTCACCAAAAAAAAGTATATTTTTATGAAAAATCATTTGGGTTGGCTATGGAATGCATATTCATTGACACTGTGACATAAAACTTTGAATTAAAGCTTAAGATTAGTTTAAAGCTCTTTCTAGTAGAAAGCAGTTTTGTCTGCTGTAAATTCAATTGGAATGCAACTACTGATATTCTGGTGCCCCCTGCTGGACATAATATATTGTTGCTATATATGCCGTCTTTAAATCAGAACTATTGACCATCTGCCCATGTAAGTCCATCACTAATTAAAAAAACGCTGACTGGTTTTATTGCTGATAATAGGAAATTAAATTTTACTGGCTCCTGACAAAATCAGTTGTTCAGACTGTTCGCTGTGATGGAGAAATTCATCAAATATTATAAAAGTTTTCTAAATAAAAGTGCACTGAATTTCTATAATTAAAACTAGTAGAAATATTTATCTACCGGCCAAAATGGCACTGAGAAAAAAAAACACATTATTTTAAAACATATCCTTTAACTCCATCTCCAGCCAGATGTAAATCATCCCATTAACGATGGCTGCATTCCATTTACGTGTTTCAGGTCCAGGGCCACACTGTTATACCTGTTGACTTACTAGCATTGCCTATTGGGGCACTTAAATGGAATGCAACGATGATTATAAAAAATTAGCTTTTAGCTGCATCTGCTACATGAACAATAAATACATAAGCAACACCTGTGCTTATGCTTCTGTGTCAAGTAAAAATGTCTTCTGTGAAAAAGGTCTATTTAAATGAAAGAATTTGAAATCTCTGGCTGAATTCATCACTATTGTAAATAGTAGCTTATTTTAGCTTTATTATTATTATTACTATTATTGTTATATACTTTTTTTAGTATATTTAGTTACTTTTTAAGCTGCAGTCTTGGCCAGGTGTTCCTTGCAAAAGAGATTTGACCTCAATTTACCAGGTTAAATAAAGGTTCAATAAAAACTGCCCTTTTATGCATACACTCGCCTCTAATCTTTTGTCATCTTATTTATGTCAACTTCAGTAAATCCAACATTTTCTGAAATCATTCCATGTCTGCAAAATTTCTTTTGTATCCATGTCTTCACTGCACAGAATACTGAAGCGAAATGATTTAATTAAGCTGAACCAAAGAGAAACTGTGCATTACGTTAAGTATAATAACGCTTTGGTCATGAGGTTATGCAACTTTACCTGTGTGGAAAACTGTTGGTACTCCTCAGGTAAGATCCAGGAACGGGGATAGAAGTCATACTCTTCTGGGAACAACTCCTGCATAGTCCGCACTGCCCGACTCAGGTTGATCTTCCTCAGCATTTCAATCATTCCTGCAATGTATAAAGCACCATCTCAGAGCAAGAGACTGATATGTGACATATTGATAAAAATGCGCTTGGAAAGCAGTCTTGGAAATGAAATTATATTGCTCTGGGAAAACAAATACAATATCTGGAAGAACCTCCCAATACCAAGAATGAGTTTCCATGTTGAAAAGGCAAACATATTGATACAAGTATCATATAGTGTAAGCCAGGGGACTTCAGTGATGTTGATTTGGATGTACATTTCTTACTAATACAATAATCTGTAGAGTCTCTGATTATTGCCATGGCATGATAAGGTTAGCAATGGAGTAATGAGGATCAGTAAGGCTTTAACTAAATCCCTCCTGTTGTGATTACAGAATACTGAGTACACATGAGGTACTGCGAGCTGAAATAAAGCCATCCCATCACTCGCAATTGAACCAGCGTTGGTGTAAGGTGCTTTACAGCAGAGGGGAAAGGCAGAAGCGGGGAAATACCTGGGAACTTGTTCACCTGCCCTGAGATGATATTTTCATTGTCATGGAAGGAAACGCCATGCCAGTAGATGTCACAGGCTGCTCGTCTTCCTAGAGGAAACTGAGAGAGAGAGAGAGAGAGAGAACAGTGAAAGCAAAAACAAAAACAATAATAAGAAACTTGTTTCAAAGAATCTTTGAATTGAATTCTAGTTGTTTGCATCTGTAAATGAGACAGGAAACTTAATTTGTTGGTATGACTCAGGACATTGGTAGGATGTTTGTCCTTCTGGTGATCCTTGAGTGCAGGGATAATCATGCCTAAAGATGGTAGGTAGTGCGTGTTCTGTTGTGATGGGCTGGGAAAGATACTATAAAAGGATTTGAAGAGCTAGAAAATTCTACTGGCGCAAAGCACAGCTTTTGTCTGCTACACCACGACTCCTGCCCACACTCACACGCTCCGAGCCACATATTATGCACCAGTGGTTACAATGAAGTCAAAAGGTTCTTACAGTCATGGAGCTGTGAGAGGTATCCCATCGTAAGCACATTTTGTAAACTAAAACAAGTGAGTTAAACAAGCGTTTAGAAGCCTGACTAGTACATGAACACCTATTAAGCCAGCTTCCAGTGTCACATTTCGCCAACACGCTGCGGCACTCACTTCTCTGCAGCGGCACACAATCCCCTGTTTGTTAACTGAAATTTCAAATCAGCTTTTGAGGTCTGTTACAGGATGTTTTCTACCTGCGCTATGTCAAATCTTCATTCAAGAAGTTTCAGCTTTTTAACAAACTGGGTTGATTCCACATTTACACACAGTGCATTAATCAAGGTCAGGGTTTCATTTAAATACAGTACAGCTCATGCTAATGGGAAGATTATCCCTGATACAGTCCCATAGATTTCTCTCCTCTGACTACGTGCTAATTAGAAAATCAAAAGCCAAAACAAAATAACCCGCTTGTGTTTATCCCTGAAGTCATCTATGTGCACTGTAAACAAGAGTAAAGTTGAGTTCAGGACAGTAACATGACATAACTATTTACTTCTCACTTTCTCTATTGTTTTTATAACATGTGAGGGAACTCTTCTTCCTTAACCTGCTGACACAGATCTGAATATTTTATTTTAAAGATACACCCCCTGATTTCCACCCAGCTCATAGTTGCATATATAACAACTTGACGCAGCTCACATCTGAGTTTCAAAACATCAACGTTGAGCTGGGAAAAATTTGTACATCTTTAACTTCATCACATCAGCACTCTATATCAAGTTCTATTGAAAAGTCAGCAGCACACTGTCACCGCTCCTAGATCCCGCTCTCATATGACACTGCCCAGCTACATCTGACAGTTGCATCTCATTAATGAGTTAGCATGTGAGCGTGTGAAACAGGGAAACCCTGCTTGACGGCCAAGGTCTGCTATAAATACTGCCACAGAGATGCCAGCGTATAACTGTCTAATCGCATCAGGGAAGGAGGTCAAATTAGTAGTAGTTTATAGGGATCGGGCCCAAAAATAGCCATCTTGTGCATGTATGGTGAGATTGGCAAAGTTAAACCCACTGTAATGGACTTAATTATGTGTGGGTCAAGTTCGTTTTCCAGGCCACTTTGTGAATGAAAATACTTTGCTCACTGAAGCCCCTAACTCAGCCACAGGTTATTTCAAGTTGCAGCCTATCTGGCATGCCTACAGAAAATAGCATTTATAATTTCAGCTATACAGGTTAAGATTTTCTTAACACACACCAAGGTTGCCTCTAGGTGGCAGGCCTTTAATTCAAAATGTCAGCTTAGTATGTAGGATCCTAGTCAAAATACCAAGTCAGTGATTAAATGCACGGTTATTAGTCTAATTTTCGGAAGTTGTCAGTCATATCCTCAGGCTTGCCATTCTCTATCTGCCTCAAAGAGGACTAAAAGCCTATTGGATTAGAGGAGCTTAAGGCTAATCATTCCCTACTGTTTAAGAGAATGCCATATGCTGAAAGTCAGCTGAGCTGACAGCTGTCTCTAAGGCCAGAAAATACTGCAGATGTAGAGGCTTAGTAATTTGGATGTAAAAGGACCTGAAAGCCTAACATACAAACTTTGTAAAATTGTTATCCAATATAATATACTGTAAACCTGCCTACCTGTAAAATGCTAGGTCTGTTTCTATTTGTTTCACCAATCAACGTTAATTTCATAATTGACAGACAAATAGACAGGCTGCTGGAGTTTCAGCTGCTTAAAAGATGTTGACAGGTTACAGTTACTTTGTTGGGGGTGAACCTTGAGGCCAAAGCGTGGTAATGTATAGGCCTTCTGTCAACCGTTTCCGATACCAGACCTGCAAGGGTTTAGGTGTCACTGCATGGTCACCGGTGATAAGTGAAGTCTTTACTTCAACGGCCTGATCGCACTGTCCTTCTTTACTTCTCATGCATAATGGAGACCATGTTAATAATGGCCGACAGCAGGTATTAATTGCATCACATTCAAACTGACCAGATGGTGTTTGTGGCTCGGAGTAAGGATCAACTGGCCCTTTCATGAATGTTTTAAAGTTGTTGCTTTTCAGTTAGAACAACTTTCATCCACATCCATCCTTATTTACATTATATACACATTAGAGCCGTGCACACTGACATCTACATTATAATGTGCCATGTTTTCAGTCAATGACTTCTTCAAATTTTAATAGGGATACTGGAAATAAATAATCAATAGTAAAGGAGAACAAGCCATCATGCTCTAAATTAGAGCTGCAACTAACAATTATTTTTATTAGCAATTAATGTGTGGATTATTTTCTCCATTAATAGATCTATTAGATCTATAAAACATCTGAAAAAGGTGAAAAATTACTGATTTTTTCCTACAGCTTACAGGTGTGATCATCAAATGTTACGTTTCATCAAAAATACAAAAATATTCAATTTACTATAGTGTAAGATAAGGAAAAGGCAGCCAATTCTCGCATATGAGAAGCTGGAACCATCAAATGTTTAACTTTTTTTTCTTGCTTGAAAAATTACAAACGATTAATCTCTTATCAAAATAGTTGCCAACTAATTTTGTCCATCGATTAATCGACTTATTGCTGCAGTTCTACTCTAAATATGTAATCCCAGAAAACATTAAAGGAAGTACTTGGGATTAGGTTAACAGACTCAATTTACAATTTACTTTATAATACCAACTCAGAGAATTCTTCATTCGTATTTAATACAAATGTATGCATATTTTGCAAGTTATTGCCATATTAACATGAAACACTTTTATAAAGTTGAAGCTTCATTCTACCAATGATTGGCTTGGATGGATGGATGGATGGATGGAAACATTGATCGATCTCCTTTTTGGTTTTATAACCTGTTTCCATCAATCAGATTATTAAAAACATTCATTCAAACACATTGTCTTCACGAGTGCATATTTTGTATAATATAAAAGTTTGTGCAAAATGTTCTTACAACCTAATAACGCATCAAAAAAATAATATATCTCTGCGATTCACATTTTGTCAGAGATATTGCCTCGCATAAAATGTCAGATCTTGGATAATGAAGAAAAGAAACACACAGGCAGACTAGGCTATTGCGTAATCTAGTCTAAAGCCCCATTAGAATAGGTTTTCCAAGGGGAGGCTGGCTTAATTATTATTACATTGATTTCAACCCTGTCTTAGATGTCCATTACAGTAATGTTTATTGGATGCAGATTCTATTGTCTTTTACTGACTGTTAAAAAGCCAGTTAATGCTATCTCAGGTTATAATAGTGCTGGGCAGATCCTTGAAAAGAACATCCTTGAGAACTGCAGGAAATGTGCATCGTTTGCCTTTTCTCCTAAGCGCAGACACTCCATGCAGCCTTTGCTAATGTTACCTTTCCAAATCCAGCTCATAACACCCCACTTGGCCTGTCTCAAAGTCAAGAGGATATATAGTAAGAGAAAGTCAGAAAATGTAATCAGTCAAAAGAAGACACTTGCCTGAAGGGAAATTGTCTTCACTTAAAGCTGTCCACAGTTACATATAGCTTACATGTATGAAGCTTATGGTCATATCCCATGTGGCATATTATTATTATGATTCTTAAGAGACACTATCCAGTCAATTAAAACATTGGATTGAGCATTCTGACACTGAGAGCAATGCATATGCAGGTTTTTATCCCAATCTGACTCCTATATGTCACTATTTAAAACACCTTGAACCAAAGAGGGCCAACTACGTCACTGAAGGGGCCTGTTGTTGTGTTTAGCTAGAAGGAAAAAAAACATATGGTTCTTAACGGCACATAGCTGGAGAACATTTAGGTTTTCATCCATGAACAGTCGTGACCAACATCTAAGCTGTTTGCATCCGAATGAAACACTCATGGATCCTCTCTGGATCAAGCAGTGCACTGCTTCTTCAGATAAACCCACTCTCTGTGTTTAATAGGAATAAAACCTGCACAGCACATTGGTGAATAGCATTTCTCCAAGACAAACAGCAAAAGAACAAGACAGAAACTCTCACGTAGCACACCTCTTTCCACTTCAGCTGCTTGATGCTTAACTTCAGTGCCTCCAACGAGGTTTTGGCTTTGGCAGTGTCCACCGTCACTGGTCTTCTCTTCTTTGCAAGTTTGAATCCATCCTCACGGTGTGCTTCTTGAATGTTTTTGGACGGATGAATGGTTACATAGTTCCCATTAGTCTCCGACTTGCCCTGCAGGATCTTTCCAGTTCCTTGGATGTGAAGTGTCCGCTCATGCCCTGGTCTATTCAAGTTTTTCCCAACAGGAGCAGAAACTACACACCCCTGCAGTGACAGGTCTGAGATCCGTTTGCCACAAGAGTTCTTGTCGTCTTTTCCCTGCTTACTACGACTTTTACCTCTATGTTTACAAGTGATGGAGGTGTTGGATGCATCTCTGCCAGCTATGGTGATGCTGGAAGGGTCCGGGGAGACGGAGGCTGGGGGAGAAGACACTGGCACCTGCTCCTCAATGTCCACGCCCTCCTTTTCAGCATCCTCGCCGAATGATCTCATTTGCTCGACATTTTTTACATAATGATCACTCATTATGCAAAATGCTATGAGTGACGCTGCTGGTCAGGGCACAGTAATAGTACCACGGAGTGCAATAATCCGACACCGGCAAGCTAACGTTATTCTGAAATAATGTAGTACGCATTGCTAGCTTAAATTGCTAATTAAACATTAAAAGCCATTTGCTTCTATCAGGTAATTTCCGACACAGAGTGAGCGAGCAGATGTGGAGATATAACGTTAACGTTACTCGCCTTCTCGGTTATAGCTAACAGTTAGTTAAGTTACCAGTTGGCAGCTCCAGCTAAAGAAGTAACGTTAACGCTGTTAGCTAATGCTGTTTGCCAGCTGGCCACAATGATTCAGTAAGCAACTTCAAAAGGCTAGCGGCTCTCGCCAGCTGCCATTGACTTAACCTAGCTGCTAGTGGCAGCACTTGTAGCCAACACTGGAGCTAGCCGCTTGAAGATCGTTAAACCTGATGTTAACGTTAGCCTGTCAAACTTCATTTGGATAACGTTATGCGTCTGCGCCGTTGGCGAAATTACGCTTTAACTCATGACAGACTTTACCTTACGGGTACCGTTATCTACTTCTCTAGCAGTGAGCAGCGTTGTAGTTAATGATGTCCACAGCCCCTCTCTGTTATCGTCCCTGTGTTGTTAAGCAGCAGTAGCTCGGCAGCAGCAGCAGAAGACCAGCCTTTTGCCCAGCCTCCATCTGGTTTGAACCCTGCTGCTGGTGCCTTTCGGGCTCCTCGTAACCTCCGACTTTCAGTAGGCACTTTGGCTCTATGACGTATCGACTATCAGCTATAAATAGAAACTGGCTCTGATGGTGTTTATCGGTTGTAGATGTGAATGAGTATTTGATTTTCGTATGTATTTTGTGTGTGTTTTTACAACCACACGCTCTTTATTGCAGTAAAGACAGCAGTCATGCCATAAACTAAAAACTAAACTAAATAACCAAACCACATTAAAGCGTCTCCAGTAATGTGTATGTATTTATCTGTTAACGTTAAGTTAGATGTGGATTGTTGACAATGAAATATTTGATCCTGTACTATTTAGCTTTTCAGTTGGTATACACTTAGAAGTAGTATTTCCCACAGGACCTGAAGGTAATAAGGAGATGGACGTGTACCCGCAAATACTGTCCTCAAACGAATACCTTTATTCACCTTACTATATTTATACGTAAAGAAAACAAAAACTTTATATTAATTGGGTAGACCTATGTAGAATGTCTTTGTGAACATTTATTTAATTGAATTGCCAGTGCTGTCATCAGCCCTAAGTCAGAATGGACACTGGCACCTTAGTAAACTAATTAAGTGGTTATGTTGAGTAAGAAACCCATGATAACAAAGTGTTTTTGTTTTTGTTTTGCAGAGAATAAAGAGGAAAAAAATAACTTTACATTTAATTGACTGAATTTGCACTGATTTGCATCTTATTGATAATCCAGACAGGAAAACTGCATTGGCAAAGATAAACAGTGGGCAAAAGTTCACACTCACACAAACAGATTGAAATATCAAAAATGGATGTAATAATACCTCTAAACTCACTGTCAGTCAGTTCAATACATACAGACACATTTAAACAACCACAGTCTGTAAATCTGATATCTAAACAGATGCTATTAAGGGGCTGGTAACAGTTATGGTCAATCCAAGAGAGGTCACAGTTGCATATTGCACCCCAAAACCATCTGCAGAGGAATCTCCATCTACATCCAGTGTTTCAAGTATATTCTCTGCCTCCTGCACGGTATCACCTCCCTGTGAGGTGAGACAGAGGACACAGAGAGAGTCTTTAGTCAGGATTCCCAGTCAACAGGAGAGTGCGGTTCTGAGATATATCCCTCTGTCAACCAAGACCAGTACTATCACCATGTGGTCATTGAGATAAGACATGTTGGGCATCACCAGTCAGGATTCCCTGTCAAAACAAAACCATTTCTACCATCTGCATGGCCAGTTCTCCTACCTATCCCACAATTAGCTCCTTCACAAGTTTCAACAGGTGCAGGTAAAAAAACAATCAGGAGGCATGGCAGTGGTGTATATACCTGCCTTTTGATTGATTTCCTTCACCATAATAAACCCAAAGAAGGGTCTGCATTCGACAGGGAATTTGGGGCTGCAGAAGTCCCTGGCTGGACCTAGATTATCTGAGTACAGTTTCCCTACAGACCCAAGGGGGTGCCTGTTGTAGAGACCCAGGGCAGGGCTTGTGACTTAAAGGACAACTGATGCAGAGGACACCGAGCTGTATGGCAGCTATGGTAGTGGAGGTTCTGTGCCAGAGGGCACAATCAGCACAGATCTGTCCCAAACGTCTCTTGAGTCCTCTACACACACTTGCCCTGATTTAACACAGTCTGTCCACATTGTTAGATACAGGTGTATACAATGCAATGAACGTTGTTCTGCTCTTCAACATTAATAAAATACTTTAAAAGAATGATCCAGTTGTTTATATTTCATTCTTCCTGCAGATATGCTTCACACAAATTGAACCCTCAACTAATGCAGAGTTTTACTAGAAAGTTAAAGAATACTATCAAAGAACAGCATGTCCACTTCAGATTGATCAGCAACAACAAATGTATCTTATTCTGAAATTAGTAGAGTAATAACAGACAACACTGTTTTTTCTCTTAATTGAACGAACAATTTTTTTTTTTTTTAAAGTTACAGTTGCAACATTGACAACAGGTACAAGTGATACTTACATAGTTAGATGTTTTCTTAGTTGTTGTAGTGCAATCTTCAAATAAAAATCATTGTTCTGAAAGCACAGTGTGAAAATCACAGTGATACTTTTTCTCAGCATACACTATGTCACAGTGTTTGTGTATTTCTGGTATTTATTTTTGTTGCTTTCACACATAATTCACATATGTATCGAGTAAGTCTTGGCAATTAAAATGGGTTGCACTTCTTTTTGTAATTAATTGTTCTAATTTTATTTATGTTTATTCCAGCAACCAATTGTTATTATTCAAACATACTGTAACTGTGTCATATTTTCAATAATCTGGTCATCAGTCATGACGCCAGAATCGGAAATATATATATATATGTATTACAACAGTATATATATAAAGAATTAAAGAATTTCCCCTTGGGGATCAATAAAGTATTTTTGATTCTGATATAAGAGATCAGATTAATGTTGTAATTCAATTAGTGACACATTCATCATCAATTTTGAGTGCGAAAACGTTTTCTAAAATACATCCTAAATTTATGAATTTGTTCTATTGAGACATTTGTCTTTATTATAAAATGCTATATGAGCTTTATGGTTATGTGTTTGTTATCTAGTACTGTGAGGTGCTCATTGTGAATAGGAGACAGTGAAATAGAGCATAGTGATGTTGAGAAATCTATGAATTTAGATTTGAATATGTTGAAACTGGTGTATGAAACTATGAAATTTTAGCGTGTAAACCATTTTTGTTTTAACAGTATTGTTTGAGTGACTTTCTAACAAAGAAGTCAAACTATTGGACCAAGAGAGCTCTCGAGGGTTAGTTACTCTGATTTCAATGTTTACAGCTCTAACAACAAATGATAAGAAAGATACGCAGAATTGATTTTATTGATTGATTTATCACTACATTTAAACATATCATCTACATATTTAGTTTTATTCCATGAAAACAATTAGCTTTTGGGGGCAATTTAGAATGCCCAATTGCTGCTTGGTTTTGAGGAAAATGGAGTTCCCGGAGTAAACCCATGCCACCACGGTAGGCAACACACAAACTCAGAAAGGCTCAGGACCGGGACTTCGCCTTCTACCTATGAGATCGCCACTCCTGAGGTGGCTCTAAGAGCTCAAGTCCTGCACCACATCTATGTAACCTCCTGCTCCACTAGCTTGTAAAACCTTACTCTCCACTTTGACCCATGGTTTCTCAAACAGATGCTTGATGTCATCTGGGTTTGCATTGGTCCAGCTCACTTATGATTTTTAGAAGGTCTCCTAAACCAGCCTCTCGATGAGTAACCCAACAATCCATTTGTTTTGTCTGCCTGTGCTGTTGTATCTTCCACAGGATCGGCATGTGTCCCTGGATCCACTGTTCTGACGGGTTGCTGACAGCCATCATCAATGTCTGATGTGATGATGTGCTGATTCATTACAAGCTCCGCAGTGCGCACATTAGAGGAGAGGGCAGAGTTCACACTTTCTGCAACATTATTCACAATCAAATCCGTCAAGAGTTCTGAGCTGACACACCGTCTGTGGTCATTCAGACCCTCAGCAACACTCTGAGGGATTCGCCCAGACTGGACATAACATGCTCCTCAGACACGACCACATTTATGCTCTTGAGAGCCATCAACAGGGTTTTTGACACAGATGTTCAAAAGCAGGTCTGCCAACATAATTTTTGTGGCATCACTGAGGTGGACCTAAGTTCAACAATCCCCGCTGTGAGTTCAATGGGCTAACTATATGGTCTACTCTAACCTCCAGTATCCAGTATCTATGTGACAAAACCAGCCTAATGGCCAAACTAAACAAAAATCAAATCAATAAAACGAGCTAAACACCAGAACTCAAAATACACCCGTGCCACAGAAGCTTTTTGCTCCATCAAGCAAAGGCAGCATAGCGAGCACAGTGTGTTGTGTTCCATGTCCATGTCTGTATTTGTTAGGATTTGGGTGTGAATAAATTACTTCATTTAAATTATGGATTTTTATAGATCTTACTCGTGTAATTTGCATGCAAAATAGGTCTGTTAACCAGCAGACAAAGAAGATTTAACCTGTGGTGACACTTCAGAAGTACAACCCTGAACAGAATGTGTAGGACCAGATGAAATTATGCCTTTTTTATATATTGACATAGGTTACATCATCATTGCTAAGCCCCTCCCCTAAACAACAACTGTAGCTTAGCAACCATTACTTTAGCAGGTTTGTCATTTTTCATGGGAGTCTGATGGAAACTTTAAAGGTACAATATGTAAGAATTGAGAATACCTATTGTAACTACTGTTAGCCAGTTAGCGGTCCTTTTAGCTGACAGAGTCCGGAATGAGCACCAGAACCGGAGCCATCGAGTGATCTCAGCCAAACTGGGACCGAACACAGCTCCTGAGAGGCCAACAGAGACCAGTTTGACAACAGGGAATACAGCATGTCGGGTTCAGACAGGAAGAGGAGTGCCGATGAGCGGGAGAGTAGCGAGAGGGAGGTTGGACATCAGAGAGGCAACGACAGCGTTTAGAGCCAGAATATTCTTAATAGATTAATAGAGTAGATTAATATCTATTCTTTATGACCAAACCTTAGTTTGGTGAATGTTGTAACAGTGGAAAGAATAACCACAATGGTTTTGGTGAGTTTTATTTTGTTTCTGCTGAGTTTGAAAGAAGTCTGTTTTTCAATGACTTAGCGAGGCAATTAGTCCTGTGAAGAAATAAACTTGAATTCAGAAGGTTGAATTTTTCAGATAAGGAAAAAAAGGTGTGAGAATAATTCCTTTCTTGACATTTTGTGAGTTTATTTTGTTTATTTATTAGACTAAAAAAAGCTAAGAGAGTTGTGTCGCAAATTCACCGCTTGCACACATCTCCCAGCTGAAACTATGAGTGGGAGACCTGAGCTATCGGAGTATCGGCTCTTAAAGTACAAAGTTGTACAATGAGACATGACAGGCCGGGGCTAGCTGGTTAGCATGTTAACATCAGTAGATATCTCTGCAACACAATACATAGATGTCTGTTAAACTGTTACGTTTCACATTCTATTGATAATGTTAGTTTATTTTTTTTAATGTTTTAAACAAAATTTTGGCCTAAATCTTAAACATTGTACCTTTAAAGTCAGATGGAGTTTTCAAACCATCTCACAGCTGATGAAAATATGCAGCTACAGTTGCTATTCTAGCCGCAAAAGTCAACTAAAATTGAGACAACTGCTACAACGGCTTGTGTCTGAATTTAAAGAATCACAGTTTCAAAATAAATTACCAATAACAAGTTGGTCTTATGTATCCATCCATCTCTTTGTCTTTCTCTCCTTGTATGTATTTTGGAATTCAAACACAAAAACTGAAAGGTATAGCAATTTTCAATAATATAAAATATTATGTACTCAGTAGGTCAGTAAAGGTGATTGTGTGGAGTTTCTATTGAACATCTGATTCGTCAATTTTTGACTTCCAGCTACCTAGTTTTACTCAGTTTTAATGTCTATGTGTTAAAAAAAATCAATTGTCCAACCAACTATTAATGGATAAGAGGTTCATTCAAGTTTAATCATGTCTGATTGTCCTTAACAACTCCAGTCTGTTCAGGTCAATTTGAGTATATAATCGATATATATCAATACCAGGAGGGACATTTCAGTGCTACTGCATATAAATCCATCCATTATTTGAATCTTAAATCTGCTTCAGATGGAGATTGATTTATACACAAAAAATGTTCCATTAATATTTACAGTTGTACAAAAACAGTATCACACCGTGTCACAATTTCACTTCCGTCTCTACTAGTAACAGACAAAAGAGTATTCTATGAAACTATTTTAAAAACGGATTATTTACGTACAGATTATTTTACAAATAAAGTTATAGGCAGTGCCCTGAGAATCTTATGTCTAAACAGATGAATGTGCTTCTCAAAATAATGAATTGAAAAATAAAACCATGTTGGGGATTGTACAGGGTTTTACAAGATTCTGCATCATCTGCTGTTTCATATTATATATTCATTATTTCACAGTTTCCTGTTATACACAGTCAGTGTAGAGTGAAAATACATTAATAACCTCAACCCTCTAAAACATTTGGCAAAGCTTCATAATTCACTCATTATGTAGATGGGAAAGTTGGATCATCTCAACCTGTTTTCAAGAATACTGAGTGTTAGAAATTTTCTTCCACAGTAATGTCTTCAGGTTGTTAAGGACAAGAGAGTGATGCACCTCCATCTGGCTTGCCAGGCCGCTGAGTGTCACACAGGTGCGCAGCTGCTTTTCCAGATCCCCGCGGAGGTCTGAAGGTGCTCCGAAAAGCAGAAAGTCCTGCAACAGAACACACACCTTTGCTAGGTTGGGCTGTACAACCTCAGTATTACACTGCTTCACTAGTCGATCACAGGTGGCCGTGCAGTCGTGAGCATAAGTACAGTCTGCGTTGGTCTCACATCGCCGCCCCTTCAGAAATCCCCGCACAACTGCCTCAGATGCCACACTGCGTAGGTTAGCCATCTTACAGTCATACTTTGAATTGTAGCCCACATGGCGAGGACTGGCATCACATATTAGGAAACTCCCATAGGACCCGTGGAATACCTCTTCCACAAACTCCAGCAGGCCGATGGTGATGCGAGCCCTGCGGGGCCAGGCTGGTGCGAGCCAGTGGTTCAGGCTGGAGCTCAAGGCCTCTGGGACCAGGGCCTGCAGGTAATGAGGCACCTCTAGACGGTAGAGGGAGCTGTGGCCCACGCGTTCTGTCACATACAGGTCTCCACAGAAGCCTAGCAGCTTGGGGGTGTGCTCCTTCTCCTGCAGCGCCACCATCAGGAGGAACTCATTGATCTGGAGAAGAGCCCAGATAGATTTGGCCTCTGCTAGAGACACTTTGCCATCCTGGTTGACATCAGCCAGGGTAATCACCCTGTCCACCAAGGTGCTCAAAGATGGCTGCTCACCAAGGTTAGCCTGCAAGAAAGTGGTTATTATTTATTATTGGCTATTATGTTGTAAATCTGATATAAATAATAAAAAGGTTGCACATGTAATATTCAAATATGGTTCCAAAATAGAGTTTTCAAATAGACAGGTTGTGCTTTCTACTGTGATAGTTGTTCCATATGATATACTCTATTATACGTATGGTGTAGCTGCAGGGAAAAACAACCTTGAGGAAACTGTGCAGCATGTCTTTAAATTCATCCATAGATGTTCCACGAGTGGGTTTGTCAAATAAGCTCATCTCCTGTCGCAGTATAGAGTCTGGAGCCCCATCAATCTTCACTGGATCCTCAATACCACACTTGATCACAACCGGTCTCTCCTTCCACTGTCCACTGTACACCTGCAAGTATAAAAACATGAGGATAGTAAATCATTTTAAATGCAGGCGTCCATTAACCTAATTAAATGAGAATATCTAGTCATTGGCATATTTATCATCTTCTGAAATATGTGTGTGGGGAAAACGTCACATTACTTTACTGGGTATTAAAAGTAATTAGTTATTTTACTCGTTATATTACTAGAGTACTTTCACTACACCCCACCAAGAAAAGTGACAGCCTGCTTAGCAGCTCATTTTAGAACTGAATCCACTATATTGGAACAATTATTAACCTTAGAAGTCAACAATCAGCCAAACAGAAAACACTGCAGCCTCTCAAACCAGATGGTCCTTTACAGACTACGTTCCAGCTGTCGAAGAATGTCTGTCTCCCTTGTTCTCCATTCTTCGTTTAGTTTGTGGCTAGCAGCTAACTTGAACTACCCTTAACCTGCTGGTCAATCGCGCATTACACATCATCATAATGATTATGGCAGTCTGCCAATTATGGCACCTAATTGCGTTCTAGTAATGCTAAGTATCGCAGCATTACTTGGTGGGTATCTCTACCAAGACATGAAAGGCATTGGTTTCTATTAAACCTGCCATCAGATATCACTTCCTTATTAAACTGGTCCCATAGTCATCATCTAACTTGTTCAAGTGGCTAATGCTTTAAGTCCTGTGTGCAGCATTTGGGGGAAACTGCACACACATTTTACACATATTAAAACTCAACACAATTGTACTTATAGGTCAATCAAAAACCATGATTACAAACTGCTACACAATTGAAGTATTATTATCTGTGTTCTCTTGTCAGCTGTTACTTTGTTGTCTCGTTTATTATTTTTTGTGTGTATTTTTTTTGTTTGTTGGCGGCTGTGGCTCAGGAGATAGAGCGGGTTGCCTGTTAATTGGAAGATCAGCGGTTCAATCCCCAGCTCCTCCAGGCTGCGTGTTGAAGTGTTCTCGGGCAAGATACTGAACTACAAATTGCCCCTGATGGCTGTTCCATCGGTGCGTGAATGTTAAGTTTCCGTTCAAGCACTTAGGCTCAGTGTGTGAATGGGTGAATGTGATGTAGTGTAAAAGCACTTTGAGTGCTTGAAAGGCGCTATACAAATACTGACCATTTGCCATGTTTTAATTGTGCTCTTGACATCATTAAAAATAAGCGCATGCCCACAGTGATTTCTCAAAATTTGAATAAAAGTTAAATGAATGAATGAAAAGTAAGAATCTACTCTACTACTTTGAAGAGTTATCCCCTTAATCGCTGTCGTGTTCCTCTGTGGTTGGTGGTTTGGAAGTGTTTTCTTTAGCCACATGTTTTTTTACCTGATGTGTAGAGGAGGTGGACATGCATCGCTGAAACGTTAGTGTTCTCTGATCACATAACGCCTTGCAGGATGAGCCTGATATTATGCCCCTTCGATAATGATCGCACTGCAAAAGGAAACAGGAAATGATTATTTGTAAAAAAGCAACAAGGAGACATCTTGTTTTTCTTGGTAATGCATTTATAACATTACATCCCATTCCAGATCTACCTCAGCATCTTTCCACTGGCTGTCTCCCTTCTAGTTTCCTTCTAATGATCACCATCTGACACTATCACCCGCCTGCCTAGCGGCTCCCCAAATATCACAGAATCTCCATCAACTTAAAAGCGCTCAAATCAGACATTCTGCACACATTTCCACAAATTCTTTGAGGAAATGTACAGGGTGTTTAACAATTAAACATTACTACTGGTAATTTCACAAAATATACGTAAAGGGATGATTTTGCTGAGGCATATGTCCAGTGCAACAGGATCGAAAGCTACATGTATACGTGTTTGAGTTTCATGTCCTGATGTTAGTGGCATTTTACCTAGTCAGGTTATTTGCATATCGGTAAATAACATTTAAGATCCACTGCATCTTGACACATTTAATAATAATAACACACAAAATAAACAAATCATGGTAATCCTTCATACTGAAAAAGTAGTTTACTGCCAGATTTCTACTGCACACACCCAAACTGCGCCTCGCCTCCCAATTCAGAGCATTCATGTTCATGATAAGACATCAAAGTGCAAAATAGCAACAAGCTAATAAAAAACCTTTGCGTGACAAAACAGCAAAAATCTCACCTCATCAGCACTAATTCGAGTGGCATCACATGCTTTCATGTAATGATACTGCCCTTTATTTATTACATTGTCTAAAACTGAATCACATAGAGACTTTCGCAAACTGTGCACCTGTCAACAAACTGTGCACCCGTCTTCATGCAGGCACACACACACTGTTGTGCAGATCTGTTTATTTGTTATAATGAGGTTACATCATTGATCTTTCATTGTGCGTCAATTACTTTGAAGAGTTATTCCCTTAACCGCCGCCGTGTTCCTCTGTGTCTCATTGAATGTCAGTGCCTGTTTCGTTCTCAACAGCCGAAAGCTCTGGAAACAGCTGGGCACAGCAGGAGAGTAGTGAAGCTATAGGCTGTATTTTTATCCAGCTTCAAAGGCCATGTATGACGGAAGAGGCCAACCCAAGCAGTCCCCAACTGTCACTCTTCTTCCTTTTTTTTCTCCTTCCTACTTTTCCGCCTTAGGGCTGCTTGTTAATGACACAGCTAGAGCAACAACACATGGCTGTGGTGGTTTCACATGGACAAAAACACAGTCAACAATGTTATAAAATGTGCCACGATGTAGACACAACTGTTTATTTTTCTAACCCAGTGACTCATGAAACATATGGCATCTCATCTTCTTGGTTCAAAACAAACTCATTCTGTACTGGTTTGCATGTGTGTGCATGTGTGATTTTCATGTTTGCCCCCACCCTACACACACACAAACCTATATTTCTTTTTACACCTTCTTTTAGAGCTGTTTCAAAAAAAAAAAAGCTTTCATCTTTTGATGAGAAATACAACAAAATGTGATTAAACATTGTAATGGATCGTTTCTCTTTCTCCTCTGTATCTTAGCAACATTTTACAAACACTGAGATATCTGTAATAAATCATCTATTTTTTTAACCTCTGGCCTGTAATGGATTTATTGTTTATAATTTGTTATCCTGGTCTAATATGTAACCACATCAGTGCTAAAGGTCCCACATAAACTGAAATCTGATCATAATATGAATGTGGTTCCCACAAATCAAACATTTAACCAAGTAGTATTTAATCAATAAATGAAGCATGACCACTGGCAGAAAAGGTTGTACAGTTGAATGTGAAGACATAATGACGCAGTAACCTAGATTTATGACTCCTGGCCTTTCTGTAGCATCCTGATCCACCATCACACTGATTCATTATGAAACCGGCTGCCATAGTTTTAAAAGACTATACTTACAATGACCATATGGCAGACATGCCCACGGCAGAGTTCAGAGTAAGAGGCATACTGCATGTAGATAACCCAGCTGGCGATGAGGATACCCAGCCATGCCAGGAGAAGGTACTTCACCTTGATGGCTGGGAGACGACCCTTTGGAGATGAATGGGAAGGAGAAGAGAAAACACAGTAATCCAAGAAGACATAATGACTGATCATAAAAATAAACTATGACCATCCAACTTTATACTCAATCTGTGTGCTAAAGCTGCTTATTGACTGTTTTTATTATGTTTTGAATTTTCCATTTGTTGTTTGTTTTTTTGCTTTATTTAATAATCCCTCATTCATCACCAACCCTAATATTTGTGGTTTATCTCACTTCTAAAGGTTCTAAAGGTTTCATTAACTTAAGTAAAAATACCAGTAGCTATACAAGATAAAGTCCTGCTTTTAAAATACAGTAACAGTACAGATCAGCAAAATGTGCTTAAAAGCATCAAAAGTAAAAGTACTCATGGTGCTCCAGTGTCTTTTATTTTATTACATTGTAATTACATTACAATTTGTATACATTTTTCTCAAACGTTCCCTTTTTTTGGAGGAGAAATGTCTTGTTGAGCTGCTAACAACTCATGACATCTGATACATGACAAACCCCAGTTTTGAAGAGTAGCCAACATTTCCCTCAGAAATTGTGTATGGCCTACCTGCTAACTGTAGGCCTATAATGTCTACAGTAGGCTACGTGATTAAATGTAGTAGGTAGTTGTGTAGTTAACAGTGAGGAATGATTAGCCTACACAACAATAACTGAATGAACAGCTGTTCACTTTTTGGGATTAAACCAAGATAGGCCTAGCTGTTACGTTGGTCCGCACCCTTTAATTATCTCATTTTTTTTAAGACTCACGACATTTTGTGATGCAGCATGTGGACTGGACTCAGATGCCATGGACGCAGAAATTGTTCTGGTAATTTGACATGCACGATAATGGTAATTTACCGTGTGGACCCTTTTATCCAGCAACAAAAGCAGACTGACATCATCTGTCCATGCATACCTGCAGACCTTTGGACAGAGGGCAGAAGAGCACCAAATGGACCAGTCTCCGCAAAACCCTGGCCATCATGAGCGACTGTTAGGAGACAGCGGAGCGAGAAACCAGGGACTCTTGTCTGATCACATCCTTACAGCAAATCTACACCATGCGTCGCAAATAACCAAAACCCACGTACAATAAGCGCGGCATATGCCGTGATATTTCCCTTAGCCTGTCTCTGACTAAAACAACGCAACTGTGTGGTTTCGTAATCCAATTTTTCACCACAAATCAATCGCCGGTGAAAAATGACCAAGCGCCCGTCCTAGAAATTGAGCTATTTCAGATTTCAGCTCCATATGGGCCAGAAAAATCTCCGTTACAGCCCCAGAATAAAATACCTCCTCCGGCCGCGACCACCCGCTAATTAATGTAAAAGCAGTTTCTTCATGATGTCGCCAGATGAAACTAGACAAATAACCAGCGGAGCTCCCGATGGGCTCTCAACCTCTGCTTCCCAGCGACTCATCACTGCGCTCCTTTAAAGGGAAAGATGCGGGAGCTCCTGGGAGATGTTTTTATACCGCCGACATAAATCTCAGTGCGCTTTCCTGTCCTTTTCACCCTGTGGGGAGAAAACATCCCACCCTGACCAGGCACGTGCACACATAGACATCAAAAGGGGCTTCAGCACCTGCCCTTTTTCTTCTTCAAGAGAAATTGCCCTTTTTTCTGGGATTTTAATAAATGAATATAGGCTACAGTATATTTATTTCTGTTTGCAACAGATTCCCTGTCAAACAAATATATTTATTGGGAAAAAAATCTAAATAGGCTATCAGGTCGGAAGATGAGACTTTGGAGTTCCGATTCTCTCTCTCTCCCTCCGCATCTCGCAGCACAGAGACAGACAGCAGCCCCTCCAGCTTCTCTCCCAGCAGTGTCTTTCTTTGCTTGTGTGGAGGTGAGTGGTGATGAACAAAATACTAAACTACCAGTGCCTCGAGTTTACCGCTAATTAAACAGAAGACAATATAGGCCTAGGCCTATGTCTCATGGCCATACAACCTGATGTACTGATGGAGACACTACAGGTGAACACTAACATTTTCATCACAATCGCCAAACTGACGTTAACTAATGCGTTAACTAATGAAAATACGCCAATTTGCACACATTTGACAAGTCACTGCAGGTGAATGGGATAAAGAAAATAACTAAAGCATAACACCAAAGAACTTCCCCAGTTAATGACTTACATCAAGAGTTGGCTATTTTCCTCTGAAATGTGCTTTGTAAATATGTTAATATAGAATAAATCTACAGATGCAAATAGACCGAGGTTATTAGGCTTTAAACCCACACCATCTAAATGTGTATTTTTGAAGTTTTATTTCCATTAGAGTAAAAGAAGACAAAATAGACCAAAGTCTCAAAATTGACCACTCCATGAAAAAGCGCCTTAAAGAGTAACTTGATAGTTTTTATGGTCGGCTCCTCATCTAATAACTCTCCATTCTATTAGTTTGTTGTATGCTGATAGATCCTTATATAATACAGACAGCCCTCCCTCAAATGTGAAACTAAGTCCAGAGTTCTTGTCCGCGTGGGTTCTCTCCGGGTGCAATGGCTTCCTCCCACCATCCAAAGACATGCAGGCTAGGTTAATTGGTGTCACCACCTTAGGTGTGGATATGAGTGTGAGTGGTTGTCCATCCATGTGTGGCCTGTGATGGACTGGCGACCTGTCCAGGGTGTACCCTGCCATTCGCCCGATGTCAGCTGGGATTGGCTCCAGCCCCCTGCGACCCTGTACGCAGGATAAGCGGTTGACGATGGATGGATGAGGAAGTTTAAACATATGACTCTTTCTGGGTGTAAAGAAAAAAAATATCAGTCAATGTTCTAGCTATACAACCAAAGTATTATGACATTTTCGGGGGGGAGGGCAATTCAAATAAGCAGTCTTTGGACTTCAACTACTGAAGTCCCCAATGTGTTAGTGCAGTTAAATGAAAGACATCTGACACGTTTTACCTTTTATTGACTACTTTGGTAAACAAACAAAATATCACAAAGGTTTATACTGCTGTCTGGAGACATGCTTTCAAGACATGTCTTGAAGCATTTCTTTCCAGGTGTTCAGTTCCAGATGCAAAATGCTCACTTTCAACCATGTCTTCAAGGTATACATACAGAACCTGTAGATGTCTTGCCCCAAGACTGGGGTACTACACTGTGAAGACAAATCAGAATTAGACGCTTGGTTACGTTAGTTTCCAAATTCAACAATCTTTAATCTTACCAGCTTTAAATAAAGAGATCCGTTGGTAAATTACATCACTCTAGATCCCCACTTCTGTACAATGTATTGTATGCAGATGATAATGTAGACATTTTATTCTCTGACACTTTATGACACAGGCTTGACACAACTTTGGATTGCAATGCTTCAAGGGATGTGATGGACGAGAGCAAAGGTCTGCAAATGCAAAGTCAGCGTGAATTCTCACCTCCCCAAGCAACTCTGTTGCTGCTCCACAGGTATATCTGGTCCATCAAAGGTGAATCTTGAGCCTCTATGATGGGGACCTTCATTACTAGGAAAGAATAAAAAAACCTAATCAATTGTGTTTCTGTCCTACGTCCTGTTATGTGCCTCTTGAAATCTCTTTTTAGCTTCAAAAATGGATTTACTGCACATTCTCTTTAAGAATAACCAGGACTATTTGAAAATGTATTTGATATGAATAGTTTTCTTGCTTTGTGAGGAATTATATGTATGTATAGTAATTATATGTAGCGTGAAGGAACTATAAATTTAATTTTCTTATGCAGCATTTATATATATAGAATATGGGTTTGCCTAGAATAACAAAACGCATGTTAGTTCTTAAGGTGTCAATGAACACATTGACACCTTAAGAACTAACATGCTGCAACATAAATCAACTAACCCCTAAAATCTGAAGTCTCATAACAAAATGAATCACTACTGATCCTTAGTTCATGAGAATACGTCGACCTTGTGGTAAACTGAGTCTACATTAAATATCTGGCACGGTTCCATACCCAAAGCCCACTACACAGTGGAAATTGAGCTATCGTGAGCCAGTTACTTACTTTCTGCCCACTTACTGCACAACAGAGACACTGACACAGCCAGAGTTGCGTCTCAAGGGGCAATATCAACCCTAATGTGTGCAGTTACAGTGGGAACTTTCAAAAGGGCTAGTTACCGTCATCTCAAAATCTGAGTTCAGCAGCCCCCATGTGTGGGCAGTCATGCATCTTTTCGCCATGCAAGTACCTGCATGAACAAAAGCAATACGTCAGAAGACAGGAGGCTGTACTCCAATACAAAATATTAACCATGAAAATATATGTACATACCAAATATCATTGTCCATTGGTCCATTAACATTTGGAAACCATGAGACAGAGCTGAAGGCCACATCTACAAATGAGAAATTAGACAAATTATTCTAAAGCAGGATGGTGACGGCCAGTTCAGGAGAGTGTACAATATGCTGACTAAAACAAAGGATGAATAGCTCATTTTTGTTGGACCTCTGACTTCAAATAGTTGTGAAATAATAATAAACTCCATGTCCCACCGTTGGTGGAGTGGTGGTATTTGGATATATTTCTGGTATCCTTCTTGAATGACGAAATGTTTCTGCCGCTGGCTTTTTATTTTCCACTACCATATCAACTTTGTAAGTCATTATATTCACAAGTTTGCACATTAAATTGATGGCAGCATTTAGAGCACTTTAGTAAAATTCTGTAACATTGTATACAGCGCTGCAAGGAGTAGTTGACTGAAAAAAAAATATCGGCAACAATTTTGATAGTAATTTAAGTCATTTTAAAGCAATAATCACAAAGATTGATCCAGCTTCTTGTGTGAAATTATTTCTGGCTTTCTTACTCTTTTATGATTACTCTTCTATAATATGTGTAGTTCATATGTATATTTTCTGTTAGCAGGTCATAACAATGGGCTCCTCACCATGGGCTGTGGAGACTTGTGATAGGTATTTTAGCAACTTTTTTCTAAAGCAAACAACTAACTGATTGATTGAAATCACCAATAGATGAACCAAATCGTTAGTAACAGTTTTACACACTGTCTGTACGACCAATTGATTTAACACACCTATTATGCCATTTACTTTTAAGGTTACAAACCAGGCTCCTCCCACCAGGGGGCGACAGCAGGAGACTGTGACTGGGAGTAATTATAATTTTCCCCTTATTTTAACATTTCTCGGGGACAAACAGGGACATTTTAAGCTACTTGCTCAACGTTACTACCACAAAATTAAAAATATAAAGAAATGTGTTTTGATAGGACTGTCAGTTTTTCAAATGCTCGCACACACCAGCAGTAAGATAAGCAAACAGTTTGGATAGGATAAAGACTGTAATAAGACCTAACATAAAGTAAAAGTGACACTGTTAATTGTGATGCCACCGTGAACATGAATTTGGGATTAGCCTACAACTTAAAATAGCCTGTTGCTTACCACGTGAACGGCAGGTTAATACCCTAAAACAGACACCAAACACGACTCAACGCTTGCTGTAACGTTAAGCATAACATTTGTAAATTACGCTAAACCCCGACTGTGATAAGCATAACATAATCTTAAAACGTTACACAGCTTGGTGGATATTTGTGAATTTGTCGCGTTCACTTATTTTATTTATTTTAAGCCCAAGCAAATATTTAAATTATGAAACGCGTACAATTTGTGTTTTATCAGTAATATGCGATGCTACATAGTAAACAGCATGTACATGTATATACAGTTACAAACTAACCTCCCACTCACCATTTCTCCTTCACAGCGTTTCCCTGGTGGTCACAGAGAAGATCGACACAGGAAAACCTGTGGCCCAACTACGGAAGGTACGAGTGACCAAGCTTCATTTACCGTTTAGCGAACTGCCCGTACTGGAGTAACGGGCTTCATTTCCTGAACTTAATGTCTTGTAGCTTTCCAGTTCAGTGACTACAAACATTTTATACAACATTTCCGTCTATGGGATCAGATCATGTTCTAGTTCAGCAAACTTTGTGTCCCTGGTGAAAATGGCTTCATATTATAAAACTAAGACACTACTAGATATTTGTATAGTAGCAAAACACAGAAATAATGCTCAGGATTGGAGCCATTTATGATCTTTATTTCAAAAAGAATCAGAAAAGCTTTCTCAAACATACCAGATGAACAGAAATTATGTTATTGCAGTCTAGCTGCACATTTTCTTAGAAAGTTGAAGTATATTTTAGAGTTTGTGAGTACAGAGCAATGTTTTATAGCTTTATGACCATTTGTCTATTGCCTATAGGAAATCCAAAACATTGGCAAGAGCAATACTTGCAAGGTTTTGCTTGCTTGTTTTTTTTTTTTTTAAATCATAAAAAATATATATATATATATATAAAACTTCTTTAGGTTTTAGACTGTGGGTCAGATAAGACTTTGATGATGGATTTCAGACACATTTTCACAACTGTTCCTCTGCAAGAGGTTTTATGACATTGACACATGCTGCAGCAAGTTTAGTAATCAAACTGCTTTTAAAAAAAAACTATTTGAATCTACTCCTGTGTACACATTTAAGCAGTGTTTTTGCTAAATCTGTACCAACATGACCTCAAACATACACCACAGTAACTAGACAGAACAACTGGACCTAGAGATGAAGTTGAGAGGGGAACGCGGACACCAATATCATGTAAATATCTTTAGTTATTATTTGGGTTATCTACAACCTTTCAGGATAAATACAAATGCAACAGTAACACAAAGTGCTGTCTGATTTAGAATGTCACTAGTGAAGAATATGGCAGCCCAGGTAAACATAAGTATTTGTTTTATCAGTGGTGCACAACAGTTCAATTTGGACAAGCCTGCCGCAGCATGATTCATCTTTGAGGGCCTATTATGAGACAGAATGTTAAATCCGAACCAGAAGACCACACGCCACAGACACAAGATTCATTAGTAAGTAAGATACACACAACTTCAGTCTGAACACAAGAAAGCACTGGGATCAATTCAACTTTTCCAAATCCACATGCATGATGAGAGAGAGCAGGAGATAATCTTGACTTTTTAAATTGCATTTTTTAATGTCTATTTTTTAAGAATATATTATGTCATGAGCTTGGTGTGGTGGGTGCTGACAGGCCATGCAGTAGCTCCATCTGTCTCCTTTTGTCCTTGGCACGGCTGATAGTCATCTTAAATAAGCGACAGTAAAGCTCCATAGCAGCTGGGGTGTCGTCATTCCCAGGCACAGGGTACGTCACCCGGCTGGGGTTGCAGTTTGAGTCCACCACGCCCACTGTGGGAATGTTCATCTTTGCCGCATCTCTGATTCCCACGTGCTGCTGAAACACATTGTTGAGAGTGGAGAGGAAGATGATGAGGTCTGGTAAGCGGACTCCTGGGCCGTACTGGATGGGGGCGTTTGTAAGGAGGCCTCCCTGCCAGTACCGCGTATGGGCGTACTCCCCACAATCCCTAGCAGTGGTCTCCACAAGGTGGCCAAACTGACGCCGGCGGCTGACAAACAGTATGATGCCACCACGATACGCTACATGGGCAGTGAAGTTTAGGGCTAGCTGAAGGTGCTCCACAGTCTGGTCGAGATCAATTATATCTTGGTCCAAACGGCAGCCATATATGTAAGGCTCCATAAGCCTAAGAAAAAGAGAATTAGATTTAAAAAAAATAAATAAATAAAACAGTCAGGAATTAAAATGGGAAATTGATGCCTTCCACCTTGTATGTAGTTATGAGTGGGTTGTTTATTTTTTAATTTGCATATTCGGTTGCAGCTGTCTACTGTGCTTCAGTTGTCAGGGCTACAGCGATCCCTTGTGCATAATATCACCTTGTGATTTTTTAGCAGCCACTCATCACTCAAATGACAGGTCACACCATTTTCTGTTTTGCTCCATTTCTTTGCTGTGATAAGCTAATGATAACGATTATAACCCAACATTTCCTGCAAGTGTTTTAATGTAAAGGCCGTGGTGGGCTTTTATCGGCACAGTTTGGATTAATTATACATTTCCAACTTACAAGCTCCACAAAAGAATTCCGAATATAAATCATTAAAGGGGCATTATGTAGTTTCCAGCGGCCACTAGCGGTGCGGTTCTAAGATTGCAACCAGGCGTGTGCTTGTAGTCATACAGAAATCCTGCAATAAACGCAGGAACACCAGCATGCAGGCTGTGGCTTTTCACTCAGACATGTTCAGGCTCTGTTACTTCGATGTTCAATTCTCAGAGGCAGCTCAACACCGTCTCCGTACCTTTCATTCAGCGCAGCGAGCCGCATATTGGCTCAATACTGCCAAAAAAGGCAGAGTGACAGCGGCTATAGACAGACAGGGAGAACAGACAGAGCTGGAAACTCAGGTAAACTCCCACTGCAACGTTACAGTAATAGTTTTATCAGCTGCAGGTTGAACTAATCCATGCTCGTTACATGATCACGGTACATTTACTGCATTTAGCCGACGTGTTACATCGTTAGCTCACCTGCTACTTTCAGTAACTAACGTTATCTTTACCATCTGTGAATCTGTCACTGGAGGCTCAGCAATGTCAGCACAGCTACATGTATTGGATGATAATGAAACGGTTAGTGAGCTGGAATGGATATTATAAAGTGTGACAATCTCTTTATAACAGTTAGACCGCAGTAACTGTACTGTAACTAGTGTTAGTGGATGGCTCTTCCTGTGTTGTTGTGACCGTTTGGTTGCAGTGTTTTAAGTTATGTGGGTCACGTTAGTTACAGTGACTGAGAGGTGGAGAAGCTGTGTACCCAAGTATCGGTAAAACCACAAAAAACATGAACTGAATGTTACAAACAGCAGCAGGTCCGAGCCACTGTAGCGTTAGCTGGCTGCATCACTATAGGCTACCTTTAGTAAACAGATCATTCCACATTTGCTTTTTGCCGTTACATCCTTTCTTGCAGGCTAAATCAACAGTGGTACACAGGATAGTAACATGGATCGCATTAGTTGGTGAAGTAATGTGGAAAGCTAACTTATAACTTTGCACCGGATAACATTAGCAACTGCTCGGCGTTACCCGGCGAGCTAACGTGACTTCTGTGTTTCTCCAGCTTTACTGATGCTCACTTTGTTCTTTCTCGACATCATCTGAACCCGTTTGGTCTGATGGGCTTCAGCACATAAACCTTTATTGTTGTTTTGGATCCTTACATGAAGCCTGTGTTTTGGTGTGAGCCGGTTGTTTTATGGTGTTAGTGGACTGCATGTCGTTAGCTGCTGTGTTGTCGCTGTAGTACGAGAGGCTCGGGAGCGCGCACAGGGCTGAATCCGACCCGGAGACCTCACATTAAAAGCAGAATAGTGGCTGATGCAAGCAACAGAGAAAACAGGCGTGTGCTTCATTTCTGAGTGAGTTTTGAGCCCACTGACAATAAGGAAATGACAATTTGATTTATTAAAATCAAAAACTTACATATAGCCCCTTTAATAGCAAGCCACTTTTACTGTTGCTCAACAGTCAGGTTAGCTAGGTTTTGTTCAAGATATTGTCCACAGGAAATAAAATGCTGCAGTCAATTTGTGAAAGCCTGTCTGTTTTCGCCTCCTACAAATGCCACAAAGAAGACAGTAAAGGCTTACTTTAGTTAAAACACATATATACACACACCCCACTCTTTTTTTTTTTTTTTTTTAAAGCAAAAAGGTGTTATTGCTTTTCATACCCCCCCCTCCCCTTAAAACCCAGAATGTAATATGGCACTTAAATGCACTATAGGGGTGTTTGATAGATAATTTCATTGTATTCAATTTAAGGAAAGTAAGGAATATTTCTTATTCAAAAAAACCTGTCACCCCTCCCGGCGATTGCAATGCTTACATTGATTTCAGCTCTTATTGTTTGTATGTGGGTGTTTTAATGGGAATGTGGATCTTTCAGATCAATTTGAGAAGTCGTTCCACATATTTTTGTCTGTCATGTAATGTGGGGTCTTGACTTGGTCTAGCCTTGGTCTCAGCCCGTAAGAAAGTCTTGGTCTTGTCTCAGTCTTGGTCTGGGCGGTCTTGACTACAACACTAATTTAGAGTTTGTGACTTACTTACCACTTTCCACTCCAATGTCACTACGGAGTGAAAATCCCTCTGAAGAAGCATTTGGGCAACATTAATTAGTTAAACAGTAGGAATTCATACCAACCTGTGCCTGCAACCCTTCTTATGACCAAGATGCACTCTGGCGTCGAACAGGTCTTTCAAAGAGAAGAGCTCCGACACACGGAAAAAGTCCGGCTTCTGAAGTGGCTGGTTAATTACTTTCTCTGTATGCAGAAGAGATGATGAAAGTCTGGAGAACAGTACTGACTGAAAAGTTAGTCGCAAACACTCTTGCTAGGTTCGCATTTGTTAGCTCACCTGAAAAATCGTCAAGAGGGGATTTAATGGAGGCTGCAGTGGCATAGTGATGTCCACCACACGAGTATCCGATTGTAGCAGCCCGTGAGTGCCGTAGCCCCCAAAGTCCTTTACAAATATAGTTCAAAACATCAGACATGTGAGTAATGTTACTGCTAGCTACCTAGTTAACACTAGCTACTGACGTTAGCAGGCAAATTGCTAATTTGTGGCTAGGATTACAAGAATAAAACGAAACAAAGCCACAACTGTTCTACAGACCTACAATTTTGTGACACACAAACTATATGGACGGTAATATTACTGTGTCAGATAATTACAAAAAACCTGTGTGCACATACCTTTCGCCAGTGTCCGGGATGCCATGCTTGCTCGAGTACCACGGAAGGTCAGCCAACTGCGGCTGCGTGTTTGTAGTTCATGGAATGCCGTAAAGTGCTGTCGTAGTAGTTTTCTATAATAAACTACAGTACCCGTGATGCCAATTTTAAAACGCTCGTTTCAGAACTTTATTGAA